TGGATCTCTGTGAGTTCAAGGCCAGCCTGGTCTACATAGTAAGTTCCAGGCCAGCTGGGGCTACAGGGAGACCCTATCTCAAAAAGACCCAAAAAATAAAGAAATAAAATATTTTATTTATTTCCTGCCATGGTGGCTCACACCTTTAATTCCAGCACTTGGGAAGCAGATGGATCTCTATGAGTTAGAGGCCAGCCTGGTCTACAGAGTGAGTTCCAGGCCAGCTAGGACTACAGGGAGACCCTGTCTCAAGAAAGACTAAAAAAATTAATTAATTAAATTAAAGATTTATTATTTTTATTTATTTGATGTGTATGAGTATATTGCCTGCTTGTATGTACAAAAATACAGGATCACCAGGCTCTCATCACAACACCTGCCCACATCTCATACTCTTGAGCCCCAGCCAGCAACCTAGGCCCTGGCTCTCCTGGTATTTGTGGGTTCTTTCTGGGTTAAGAGACAGGGAAGAAGGATACACTATGTAGATCCCAGGGCAAGTGAGATTTGGGGAACTAGGGCTCCAGGGCAGCTCCCAGGGCCTGGAAGTTCAGGTTTGCTTGAGACATCCCCATTCCTCCAGCAACTGATATTGCAGCCCTTCAAAGTCTGAACCCCCTTCCAGGCCTGCCCCTACTCAGTCTGTTACTTGGCCTGTGCCTCTATTGTCTGAGTGGACACAGATAGCATGGAATTCACATGCTTTTCCCAGGTTTGCTTTCCCTCCTGAGGGATCAAAGATATGGGCTATTTGGCCCTGAACTTGTGACTGGGTCCTGAAATGGCCAAACTAGCTCCATTTTGTTCTAGCTGACTTTTGCTTTACCGTGTGTTTTTGCCCAGCCATTCCCACTGCAGCCAGCCAGGCAGACTGTCTCATGCATGTAGTTTCAGGAAGTACATTGTTTCAACAATACTGGGAAACTTACAAGTAACCAGGTAGCATGTCCAGATAGCATGTCCTCCCTCCCAGCTGTACCTGCATCTCTGTGGAGCCCATTGTTTTCTGCATTCAGAGAAACATGTTTTTTTCCTAACCAAACTTGTTAATTGAAAATCTCTTTGTTAACTGACCTGCCCCTGGTCTGGTGTAACTATGGTGATCTGATGTAACGATGGTTATTGGCTTTACCCCTGTCATGATGTAATTGTGGTTTTAAACTTTATAAACCCTGCCCTGCCTCTCCACGGGGTCCTCGCTGACTGCCAGCTTCCTAGCTAGCTAGCCATCAATATGTGGTGTTCGTCTGTGCAGTCTCTCTCAGAATTACAGGTCCTTTCCTAGTTTGCTTATATTTCCAACAATGTTCTCTGACCTCTAGAGGGGTGAAGTGATGTGTATTTGACCCTCTGTAGAGACTTCAATAGAGACACGGATGTCTGCCCCCTCCCCCATCCCCAAACACCTTTATAGAGAGGAGTCAAGGTCACTGAGTTTTATTTGTAAGTAGAGGACAGCCTTGTACCTCCCCAGCCCCCATGTTCTGGGGTGGGATGGAGAAGAAAGGAATCTGTCAGCATGAGCCAGGCTCCCCTGCCTATCAGGGGCCCCCCTGCCCACCACTACTAATAGAAAGAAATTGGGGAGCTAGGCATGGTGACTCAGGCCTATAATCATGGCACTTTCGAGAACTGTCACAAGTTGGAGGTCAGCCTGGGCTACATGGTAAGACCCTGTCTCAAAACAACTACAAGCTGGGCATGGTGGCACATGCCTTTAATCCCAGCACTTGGGAGGCAGAGGCAGGCAGATCTCTGTGAGTTCAAGGCCAGCCTGGTCTACATAGTGAGTATATATGATAAACAAAAAAAAAAAAAATAAAAAAAAAAAAAAAAAAAAAAAAAAAAAAAAAAAAAACTACAAAGAATAAAAGAATAGGGAAAATCCAGAGGTGTCCATCTTGCCCTCAGGGGCAAAAAGAGTTTTAGACTAAAGCTCCTCCCTTGTAGTTGAGACCTCTTCTGAGCAGGACCCCTGGGTGCCCCCACACAGCAGTGCCTCTAGAGCCCCAAGGCCTTGACAGTGGGCCTCATAGATCCGGTCTTCTCCAAACTCTCCCAAGTAGTGGAAACATGTCGTGGAAAGCCTAAGGGAATAACAGGCATCTTGAACTCTGCCCTGCACAGGGAAGTTGGGGAGGGGGGGCAAACCAGAGCTCCAGGGGCTCCATCCCTGACCCATGTCATTACCTGGTGGGCCAGGGTCCCCCAGTGATCATCACAGTGATGCTTGGCTCTTGTCCTTGGCCAAGTCCTGGGCCCATGAGACGTTTCACCTGGTTTACTTCTTGGACCCCATAGCTGATGGCAGAGGGAGGAAAGGGTATAGGATCATTGGGGGGGGTGTTGGCCACTGAGGGACCTGCTTCTATACCAAGCTGGGTACACTGGGCATTTACTGAGTTTAGACAGGCTAAATCCCTGGCCCAAGGTTATATAGTGACCTTTCTGTTAGCCATCTACTCTCCCACTTGCTCCCAGCCTCCTGCTTAGACTTCATCCCAGGCAACCTTCTTCCTGAGGCCAGATTCCCTGTGGGACGGGCATGTGGATGAGTGGGCAGGTGGAGGTTTGCACCCACTAGCCCTTCCCCTGAAGAAAGCCTGCAGGGGCTGGATCGGCAACTCACTCTTGCCAGTTCTGAGAGCAGCTCTGATCCAAGACATCCATGTATATAGACTCACTCAGCTCCTGCCGCCCACTGGAGTCTGGAGCATGAAACTTGGCCTCTGCTTTTGCCAGGTGTTTCCATATCTGAAATGAGGAGGTGCTGGAGCCATGACTTTGGAACTGCTGGTCAACTGGGGGAAGGAGGGAAGGACAGGCACCCAAGTCTCTGGGGAGAATGGGGTGGCAAGGGAGCTGTTTGAGCCGGAAGCACCTGTGAGGCAGGCTGCAGGGCCCCTGCTCTAGGCCTGCAAAGCTGAGACTGGGCCAGTATAGGCAAGCTCAACTTTCCTGGGGGTGGAGGAGGAAATGCTGAAAGGAAGATCAGGCCCCTCTCTAGGGCACACTTGCTCAGTAGCACATGCTATTTTAAACCATGGGAATGAGAAAAGCCAATAATTAATAATAATAACAACAACAATAATAATAATAATAATAATAATAATAATAATAAAATAAATAAAATAACCAGAGCCCAGTCTCCAACATGTACTCACAAGTGATGCATATATAGATACACAGACACACAGACATGCTCAACAGGGGCAAGTGTGTGCTCATGTACTCAGGCACACATATACTCAACGTATGTAAAGGCATCCCAGAGGTTTGGGGAGGGAATCAAGATCTAAAGATGGGTGCAGGCAGAGAGCAGTCTATGAGGATGTGAGTCCCTGTGGTGTCCAGATAATGTCAGACATCCTAGACTGTCTGCTCTTTGTTAGCTAGGCAGATATGTAAACCAGCTGAAGCACGGCAACTCAGGAGAGGTGGGTCTGGCAATATTCTGACCTTATCTTGAGATTGGTGCTGAGGGTTTAGGATTAAAGGCCAATGGTGGAATCTAAGGTAGGTGGAGGGGTCTGAGCAGGGACAGAGGACTGCTGAGAAGGGGGAGGGGGAGGACTCACCTGGTAGGCCACAGCCCGACAGGCATCACAGCGTAGGTGAGCAGGCATATGGGCCGAGTACTTCTCCTCATCATCCAGCTGTGGGGCAGTAGCTGAAAACGAAGCCCCAAGTTCCCCCAGGATAGCCCTGCACCCCAACAGCAGCACAAGTGGCAGGGGCAGCCTCATGGCCTCTGGAGTCACTTCATGGAGCATGGGCTATGGTTGGGGTGCAGATGTACAAGTGCAATGCCTGTGGCCTAGGCCAATAGAGAACTGACACCTCACCCATCCTCTTGCCCTTCCCCCAAGGCCCCGGAGATGCCACGTGTGCTGTTTCTCTAGCAGGACCCTGGCTCCGGCTGACTTGACTCCATTTCACAGATGGGACGATGAGGCAAGGAGAGGGACTGGGGCTGGGCAAGGACACATAGGGGCTGAAGGATCTCATTTGGTCAGTGACCTGACCAAGTGGCAGGCACTGTATTGAACATTTTGTGGGAGGGTGGTTGGTTACAGTCATTTTTATTCTGTCACAGAGGATTCAAAGGCTCAGAAAGAAGTGACAAATCTTCCAGTTAGAGGAACCATGTCAAGAATGCTCCCCCAAAGCCCACTGGCCACTGAGCCACCAGGAGGAATGTGCCCATGGATGTGGTTGCCAGTCTAGGAACATTTACAGGGACTGAGAGACCATAGAATTTGAGATCACACATGGTCTCTTTCCCCAACCCTAGTGTCCCCTCTACCTGGCTAGAGCCAGACATGGAACTTTCCATTTTGTGGAGGGTGTTAAGAGGCAGCAGTAGGAAATTAGGACCATACACCAGTTTATCATTTCAGCCACCATGGTTCCATGGTCAGCCGTTTATTGCACACCAGGATTAGGTGAAGAACCCAGGGGTGGGCCCAAGTCCCTCTATGCCATTGAGACCAATGCTTCTGGTAGAGATGTCCAGGTCATTCTGACTCAGTTTCTTAGTTTCCAGTCCAGGGCAAGGCTGATAGAGGCTCCAAGGGATCTTGGCCTGAATAAGCTTGGAATCAGAAAGATATCAATCCTCAACCCTAACACTGCTTCTAATGGGAACTGTCCTCCAAATACTTCACATCACACCCCCTCCAGCAAGGCCCAGTCATTTTAGGTTAAAAATTATACCCAGACCCCCATGCAGACCACCTCTGTCTCATGGAGAACACATTCAGCTCCCTCAGCTTTCCCCTGGCCCAGGGCAGTTGGAGCACAGGTTTGGGGGTCTTTCCCATGCTCTGACCAGCCTGCAGGGTCAGCCACTCTCTGGGCATTGTTGTGCATGCAGAGTAGAATCTGCTCAAGTATCAGGCCCCTCTGGCCTACTCCACACAGGAACATCCCTCCTATATCAGTCCCAGCCCACCCTGCAGCCACCCAGAGTAAGAGGCTCCCCTGGGACAACAGCCCAACCTTTCTCCCCGTCATTCCTGGTGATTCATTTCACTTGCCTGTTTGGGATGCCTGAGTCCCCCACCTTCAGGATGAGCTAGCTGAGCTCTGGGAGTCTGGAGAAAACAGACACTGAGGCAGAAGGAAGGAGGAGCTAGGTTCTCTGTTGGACTGTTATCCCTGGTCACACCATTTTGTAAATCTCCATTTTGATTAAACAATGACAATTTCCAAAACTAAAGTAACTTATTTTACTAGATTCTTGTCCTTCCTGTCCTATTGACCTCAAGTAATGACTGGCCAAGAAAAATGTTTATTGGCCACCTGACATCCTTTAATTCACCACTTACCATATTTCCCTAACTACCCATAGCAACAGCCAACACAGAGCCAAAAAGGAAAAATTTCAATCTTTCTCCCTTCTGCCCTACAACTACCCAGTCTGAAGGCAGACTGTAGGCTCTCTGATTCTCACACTAGAGACCACCCTTCTGCAGGCCTTTTCCCAAACAGACTGTGCTGTCGTTGAGTTGCAAGTTCCTTTGTCTTTTCTTCTCCTCTACCTTACAGGGACACAGCAATCGGGGACCACCTCACTCCAGTCCTCCCACCTCTAATTTAATGCTGACCTTCCAAGCCCTTAAAGAGCTCCTAGCTCTACTTCCACCTACTGTCCTGACAGCTCCCTTTCTCCCACAAAGCCTGGCCTGGGGCCACACTAACTGCTTCTCCCATAGCCTCCAAGGCCAGATCTCAAATCCCGACCCTCTCCATCACAGCAGCACCCACTGCCCTGCTCCGCATCGGCTGGGCCCACCGTCAGGGAGGTACAAACATCTTACCACAACAGGTGGCCCTGTTTCTGCTGCTCCCATATGGCCTATCCTGGGAAACCCCAACACCTCTTCGGGCTGGCTTCTCACTGTGACATACTTGCCTGCCTACATACGCAGATACACCACACCTGGGAATGCTTGGGAACCGGAAGTAGGCAACCACTTCCTGAGCTCCAGCACCATCAGCCCAGGTATCAGATACATTTTCTTAAAGTCACTTCTAGTCTGATGACTAGAGGAACTGACCAAAGAAAAGAGTTGATGGGAATAAATGAGTACATGGGACTGGGAACCAGAACTTCCAAAAGCCATCTAGGGGTCCCAACTCCATGGGGATCACGCCTTGGGGTTTCACAAGGGAAACCCCTTGCTGGGCTGGATGGGTCCAGAGCTGGAGGGCGGGGCACAGAATAGCAGCGGTGGAGCCGGACTGCGGGTCCCGCTCACAGGCATGTAATGCATTCCATCTAAAGGCCCAGTCTCAGGGGCCCAGGGTAGTTGGGAGCTGCCGAGAGCCGGCAGGTTTGGGGAAGGAGGCAGTGACAAGCCAGATACAGGCCCATAGACGGGCGGGTAGAGGCCAGGCCCGATGGCCAACGGGGTGTAGGAATGGCGTGGTGGCCCTGGGGACGAGGACGGCAACAACACCTCCACATACTGCCCGCTTTCCGGGTCGAAGAGAAGCCGCAGCCTTGGCTGCTGCGGCGCCTCCACAAAATAGTAACGACCGCTCTCCGGGTCCACTAGGACCTTCCCGGCGGGCGCGGCTCCTTGCGGCCTCCGCATCCCCTGGGAAGATGGAGGGGGGAGCCGATCCGTGGGAGGCGCCGAGGCAGCTCGCGGCTGGGGCCCGGCGGTCCTGGTCGCCGACGCCTGAGCTTCCTGCTGGAGGGCCGCCAGGACGGCGGCTGCCGGCTCTGGGGGCGTAGGAGGTGTCTCCAGTTTGGGTGCCTTGCCCGGGCTCGAGTTGGGGCACGCCTGCGGGGAGCCGGGGCGGGGCGGTCGCATCCCTGCTAGAGCAGACTGCTGCGTGGTGATGCGAGCAGTGCCTACCGAGCTGGTCCGACCCTCGCGGTCCGGGACTAGGCACTGAGCCTCAGCATCCCGGTTCTTTCCCCCAGGACCGCGCCCTCGGACTCCCGGTGTTCTCTCAGGCCGCCGGCCCAAGGCCAGGGCACCGGGCAAGCGGATCTCACTGCGTGCGAAGGGTTTCGCCGTGCTGTTCTCTGCCCTTCGTCTCGGGACCCTGCTGGACTGCGAGGCGTCCCTGGGGACTGCCTGGAGCAAAGGTTCTGGAGACTCGTAGGGATGCGGCACTACCGGCAGAAAGTCCTTGAGAAAGACGGAAGTGTAGTGAGCCGGCGCGCGGGGCTCCAGCGCAGGGGGCTCCTGCATTTTGGAGCCGTAGACCTCTTCCCCGCAGGTGTCGACAGGAGGCGCTGGGCGCCCTGAGCCTTGGGTCCCCGCAGGAAAGCTTGGCGCGAACGTGGTCTTAACTATCTTGCGCACGTCGCGCGGCCGCGGAATGGTGGAGTGCCGGCGTCCTGAAACCTCTTCTCCCGCGCCCAAGGCTTCAGGGCGCACATCGTCATCCCGGATGCTTACGAGATGACTTGGGGGCCGCTCAGGTGCATCTACCTCTAGCAATGGCTGACTGCCTCGGAAGGCAGCATCCGGTTTCTCCCGTGTGGGTGGACTCTGTACCTCTGCTAGTTCTGGAGTCGCGTGTGCTGATGGTGTAGGCCGCTCCAGCTCCTGAGCGAGACCATTCGTAGCTCCCTGCGTTAATACCATCGACGACCCCTGCATAGTAGGACTCCATGTCTCTCGAGGTGATGGACTACCCTTTCCTGTAGGGCGATCTGGTGACTCCCACTGGAGCAAGGCTGGCGCGGACTGGTCTCTATACCACTCTGCTGCATCCCCACCTGTCGGATGCGGAACTTTCCACTGAGAAGGAGCTTCAGGAGACGGGCTCCTGGCTCTAGCAACACCCTGAGTCCTCAGGGAAAGAGGTGGAGGGGAAGGGCTCCTGCTGACGTTTTCCTTGACGGCGGCATTCCGATTTTCCCACGCAGAGTATCCTTCAGGGAAGGATGGGCTACTCACTCTCCAAACAGTCCTGTGTGGCCGGGAGAGATTCTGGGGAGACGGGCAGCGAGGACCTTGTATGGCCCCATTTGGAGACTGCCATGGAGGAGACTGGCTTCTCGGCCGCACATCCCTACTGGGAACCACACAGGAGGCTCTAGGTTGGAAAGGTGGACTGTGTGCCCTCGGGATGGTTCGATCAGGAATCTCATGAGGGAACTGAATCTTGGGTTCCTGGTTGCGCGCATCCTGGAGTTTCTCCTCTGACTGCAGAAAGATGCTGGAACTAACTGGACCAAGCGGCTCAGTCCCGGGGGCCGGCTTGTCGCGCCGAATCGCACGCTCTCGTAGGCTGGGCCAAGGTCGTGGGGCTCTGGAGGGGGCCGAACTGTCGTGTGCACGAGGTGCCCGAGCTTTGGCCTCTTCTTGGACCACGCGAGTGTTGCGTGCAGTTTGAGCCGTAGGCTCTGGCTTCCCCGTGGATCTAAAAGTGGCTTTGCTTGGGGCCAGGACTGCAGGGGTCAGTTTTCTGGCCAGCGCGGCCTGCACGATGCCGGCAGCGGCCTGCAAGCGACTCAGCGACTCGTCTAGGGAGCCGGTGCGCAGGAGCAGTCGGGGGTGCGGCGCTCCGGTCTCCTGTGAGGGACTCCGGGGCCGTGGACGCAGCTCGATCTGACGCTTCGGCACGGTGCGCGGCCTAACAGGCGCGGAGTGCTCTTCCAATGCCACCTCTACACACTCGAACTGCCCCGAGACTGCAGGGCTCGGCCCCCGGGGCCGCAGCTCCAGGTAGGTGGCCCAGCGAGAGCCCCCGTCGGGGGTCTGGGGCTGCGGCGAGACGGGGACAGGAGATGCTGACCCCGGCAGTGAGGGATTCCTGAAGGCGGGCACCGTGAGCTGTTGCACCTCGAGATCCTCCGCGTCGGAGCGGCTGAACAGCGGCGGGGCTCCGAAGATGACTTCCATCTCCCCCGACGGCAGCATGCGCAGCTGGGGCCGGGTTGGCGGCGGCCCGGAGTCCGGGCCTCGTGGGAAACCCGAGCCGGAGCAGTGCTGCTGGCGGCTATTCTGGGCGCTGACGGACAGGAGAGGCTGTGAGCCCGCCCCCCGCCCAGGGGCCACCCAGAGCCAATTCGCCCGGCCTTCTGCGTCCGGCCCAACGTCCGGGGGCTCCGGTGAACCCGGAGCTGTGTGATAGGAGCCAGACGAACCAGAGGAGTCCTGACGCCGCGCAGTGTCGACAGGTAGCCGCCTTGAGAGCCCAGGAAGGGCTGGCCGGGCGAGCGTGGTCAGCATGGTGGGCCGAACACCTAGAACTGCCTCCCGCGCAGTGCCTCTGCTGGTGGTGCCTGCACTGTCCCCGCCCCGCCTGGGATGCCTTGGGGTCAAAGTGTCTTAAAGCGCCAGCGTCCACTCTAGAGCCAGAGGCGTTGGGAGCAAGAGACGTAAATCCTGAGCCCTACAGGGATGAAGCCCCTAGGCACCAGTGGAGTGCCGCCTCGGTAGGACTCCAGGCTTTGATTAACAGGCAGGTGAGAGGAAGGCAAGCCTGACATTGGAAAGGAGCCAGCAGCTAGACCCAACTCCACCTATCATAAGTGAGAAAACTTTGGCCCTGTGGGGTCTTACCTGAGATGGAGATCAAGGGCTAGCCTGTGGTTCACAGTGCCAGCCAGGAAACTAGACCTTTAGGCCAGGGAACTCAGATCTTGCAGTATCATCATCCCCAACTCTTGTCACCTTAAGGAAACTCCCCCTTGGCTTGGTCAGTTACAGCTCATAAACTTCCTTAACTTTTATCACAGCCCCACACAACTTTTGGATAAGGAGAGTAATTAGAGGACTCTCCTCACTCTAAAAGTTGAGGCCTCAGGAAGGTACTGGCTAGACCCACTACCCTTAGTGAGGCCTAAGGTAAGAGCTGAAGTGATCATCGATCCCTAGCTAGCTTTCACAAGCTGCCTTAGTGCTCAGAACACCCTTCCTACCAACTTTTGTAGGAAGCCCCAGGCTCACAAAGCGCTTATTCAGGCCCCCACAACATTCTTTCCCTGGTAGGGAAGCAGCTGCCACCTGTCATTGTCTTATGACAATGTGCACCAACTTGTCCTTAAACTTCTGGCTTCAAGGTCCTGCTATGACTCAGGCCCCAGCTGGCCCCAAAGCAAGAACACTGGCCCCTCCTTTGCAGTCATCCTCACATTGACCAGGCTAGATTTGACAAATCTTAGACTCATGGGTCCCCTGCCAGTGTTTCCCATGATCACCTAGGGGCACACTACTGATGGCTTTTGAGAGGATCTAGCCTGTCATCATATGCAGTCCTGCTGCCTGAACGAATTGAGCAGCCCATAGCCCTTCCTCTGTTTCCCCACCATTAAAAAAGCTTTGTCATTTTCCCACCTCTTGTTTGTGAAGACTTCTTTTGGGGGGTGTTAGAAGGTGCAAATGTGATTTGTATGGATAACACATAATATACACAGTATAATATTCTTGGTATCTGATGGTATCAGGTTTCCCAGATTCCCTGTGGTCCTGTAAACCACCCAGTGTTTGAAGTCTCTGGTCATAGCTCTACACACACACACACACACACACACACGCACACATACTTTGGTCATAGCTCTACACACACACATACATACACATACACACATACAGCCCAACCTGCTCTGTAGCCAACATGAGAAAATCAAATTTATTGGAGTCCAGGTAAGATGTTAACTGGGATAACCAAGGCTGTTTATGTGGGAAAGGATTAAATATCCAAAGCAAGCAAGCCATAGTATCTACTGACTACAAAGACCTAGCTCCACTTCCATTCCCATGGACCCTACCACCTCCCAAGGGAGCGAGAGGAGCAGCAGGGGCTGGAGACTTGAGAGGCATCTCCTTCCAAGTGGCAGGGCAAATGATTGTCCAAGACCTGTCCCTCATCTAGCCCCCAGTGCCTCGATTCTCTCAAGAATGCAGACAGACCAAGAAACACACACACACACACACACACACACACACGCACACATACTTTGGTCATAGCTCTACACACACACATACATACACATACACACATACAGCCCAACCTGCTCTGTAGCCAACATGAGAAAATCAAATTTATTGGAGTCCAGGTAAGATGTTAACTGGGATAACCAAGGCTGTTTATGTGGGAAAGGATTAAATATCCAAAGCAAGCAAGCCATAGTATCTACTGACTACAAAGACCTAGCTCCACTTCCATTCCCATGGACCCTACCACCTCCCAAGGGAGCGAGAGGAGCAGCAGGGGCTGGAGACTTGAGAGGCATCTCCTTCCAAGTGGCAGGGCAAATGATTGTCCAAGACCTGTCCCTCATCTAGCCCCCAGTGCCTCGATTCTCTCAAGAATGCAGACAGACCAAGAAACTAGTACCTTTTCTGCCCCGTCTCTGGAGGGGTGAAAGGCCCCAAAGGGCTCCCCAGAGCAGAGAATGTATAAGTTGGGTATTACAAAGAACAGGAAGGAAAGTGCCATTTTATTTTCCCCTGGGACATTGACAGCTGTGGGCCTGACATGTCCCAGAGGCTTTCTTATGCTTCTGGTTCAGCACCTGAATCATGTAGTTCTCTTGCTGCTTCTGAATCCAGAAGTCAGACATGTGATTCCCTGAAATGGAGCCGGCTTGGTTGTAGGCTGGACAGCCCTGGGTAGGGGCCAGAAATCAGGCTCCCCACTTCCATCAACAACCCCCAGCCTGGCCCGGCCCCTCACCTGAAGATCTGTTTCTGCTGGCTGATAACTTGCTGCAACTCCTTAATCTCATTCTCTTTGCCATTAAGTATATCTTCTTGCCTTATAATGTGAGACTCAATTTCTGTAGGGGAGAGAGGCATGGAGGAGGGGTGGTCCCATCCCTCAGGCCCCTCCTGAGCTAATACCTTCCTTGTGGAGCTTTTCAGAACTTAACTCTCCCTGCCCAGGGAGTCTGTACAAACAGTAGTCAGTACTTTAGTATGAGTGAGTTCATTTTTCTGTGCTGGAGATTGAACCCAAGGCCTCACATATGCTAGGCCAGTGCTCTACTACTAAGCTATATCCCCAGCCCTCTACTTGTTTTTGAGTCAGGGTCTCATTACATTGACCCATGTAGCTTAAACTCACTCTGTAGTCCAGGCAGGCCTTAAACTTTTGAGCCTCTTGAACAGCTGGGATTATAGGCTTACACCACCAGACTCTGCCATGTTAGCAAGCTTATTATGGGGTCTTGGGAGTGAGGACAATGTCTTGTGATTGCATCAGTGACTTTATCACTCTATTCTGAACCTCACTTGGGTGAGGGAAGGCACAAGTCCCCAGGTGGTCCTGCCAAAGCTCATGCCCTCCACTGTAGCAGGTCTTTACACTTTGGTCTAGAAATTACAACCCTTCACAGTACTTCCTATTCCCTTTCCTTTTTCCTTATGCTTATACTTAATGTACTCCGTATTTTACTCATTCATCTTTTCTCCATTTAGGATGTAAGGTCCATAAGGACAGAGGCTTTTTTCTTATCACTGTTATTCCTGACCTAAAGCAGAGCCTGGCTTACAGTAGATGAATACTACACAGATTGTGGAGTGAATGAAGATGTCCCCTAAGGGACTAAGACAAGAAACATCACCAAGTTTGGCCATCTCAGTTCAACCAGATCTACTGAGGGTAGACTGAGTGTCCAGCCTACGCTATAGGGCCTCTGGGATGGTGGGAGATGAGTTACTTGACCCCACCAGACAGCTCCCTAGGGATGAGTTAAGACTCAGAAATTAAACTGAATGATGGCCCATGCCTGTAATCCTAGCACTTGGGAGGTAGAATTAAGTCCAAGGCTATCCTACTGAGTTTGAGGCCAGTCTGGGCCACATGACCCTGTATTTAAAAAAGTTAAAAAATTTTAAGGTCTGGGTGTGGTAGTACATGCCTTTAATTCTAGCACTCAAGAGGCAGAGGAAAGCAGATCTCTGTGAGTTTGAGGCCATTCTGATCCACATAGCAAGTTTCAGGCCAGCTACTGCAACATAGAGAGACCCTATCTAAAAAAACCCTCTCCAAACCAAAAACCAAAAAAACTCAAGAGCTTCAGCTGAGGTGGCTCAGTGATTGAATAGTTACCTAGCATGTATGGGACCATGTTTTTATTTCTTGTACCACAAAATAAAAAAAAAAAAAGGAGCGGGGGATGGAACCAGGAAAGGATGAGAACAAAATAAGGCTATTGTCAGTAAAGCTCCTACCAATGAGGAAAGGTTACCATGGTCAGCTGCCTCCCTTTTGATGCCTGTTTCCCATGTATATAAATGGTCCCTATTCCATAGTAGCATGGAGAACACCTAGTACAATAGTGATTGAAAAGCCTCCCTCCAAGTCAAACACACATTGGATACAGAGATTTTTGTGTCTTGGGTCAAAATCCAGTGACTACAAGGATCTGAAAGTGTTCGTTTATGTAACTGTCCCTCATTGAGCCCTGGAAAATTCATATTACACAGGGGGTTAAAAGAGTTCCAGTGGCAGGTTGAGAAGGACTCAGTAACTCAGTGCAGAGTGCATGCCTAGCATGTAAGGCCCTGGGTTCTATCCCCAATACCATAAAAGAAAAAGAAACAATCAAATATGCCAGTTGTGGTGGCACACCCTAGTAATCCCAGTACTTGGGAGGTGGAGGCAGAGGATCAGGAGTTCAAAGTCACTGTTGGCTATACAGTGAGCTTGAAGCCAGCCTGGGATGTATGAGAACCCATTTCAAAAAGGGAGAGGGGCTAGAGGAGATAGCAGAGTAGGCTAAGTGCTTGTCTTGCAAGCAGAAGGATCTGATTTTGACCCCCAGAACCCATGTCTAAATACTGGGTGTGGTGGCATGTGCTTGTAATCCCAGTGGATTCTCTGCTGGGAAGGCAGAAACTGGCAGATCCCTGGGGCTCTCTTGGCCAGCCAGTGTGGCCTACTTGGTGAGCTTCAGACAGACGAGAGACGCTGTCTCAAAGGAGGTGAACAACATTCCTCAGGATGATGCTAGAGGTTGTCTTCCAGCCTCCATATGCATGTGTACACACGTGCAAATGAACACGTATTTTAAAAGGGTAGGGGCTGGGGAGATGGTGATGGTTATGTTGGTAAAGTGCTTGCTGTGCAAGCATGAGGACCTAAATTCGGGTACCTAACTCCCACATAAAAATATGAGCATAGCTGTGTGAACCTGTAATCCCAGTACTGGGGAGGTTGAGATGGAAGGATCCCTGGGGCTTGCTGGCCAGCCAGTTTGGCCAAATTGGTGAGTTCCAACTTTAGTGCAAGACCCTGTCTCAAAAAAGCAGAGCCAGTGTGGTGGCACATACCTTTAATTCCAGTACTTGGGAAGCAGAGGCATGAGGATCTCTGTGAGATCAAGGCCAGCCTGGTCTACACAGCAAGTTCGAGGCCAGCTGGGGCTACAGGGGAGCCTCTGTCTCAAAAAAAAAAAAACCCCAAACAAACAAACAAAAAAAAAAAGAAAAGAGGCCCAAGAGATGGCTCAGCGGTTAAAGAGCATGCAAAGGACCTGGGTTCAAGTCCCAGTACTCACATGGTGGCTAATAACCATCTGTAACTCCAGTTCCAGAGGATCCACTGCCTTCTTCTGATCTCCTCCAGCACTGCACAACACAGATGCACTTACACAGGCAACACTTATACACATAAAATAAAAGTAACAAATTTAAAAGAAAAGACCAGTGTCATGGTGCACGCCTTTAATCCCAGCACTCAAAAAGACAAAAAAAAAAGAAAGAAAAAAAGGCAGAGGGTCAGCAAGGTAAAAAGGTAACAGTTCTTGCTGTCAAGCCTGAGAACCTTGGGTTCAATTTCTAGAACCCACAGAGTGGAAGGAAAGAACTGAGACCAAGTTTTCCTCTATCCTCTACACATGCACTGTGTTTGCACAGACCTACATACACACTCATGTGCACACACACACATGTACACACAAATTGTAATACAAAATCATTGCAACAATTTTTCCTAAAAAAAAAAGGGCTGGAGAGATGGCCCAATGGTTAAGAGCGCTTACTGCTCTTGTAAGTGATGTGAATTTAGTTCCAAGCACCCAGGTTGGGAGGCTTACAACCCTGAAAACCTCTGGTCTCTCTGGGCACCTGCACATACGTGCACATATCCACATGCAGATACACACACACACACACACATGCTTGCATGCAATTAAAAATAATAAAAATAGGTTTAGTGGTTAAGAGCACTGTTCTTGAAGAGGACCCAAATTTGGTTTCCAGTACTCACAGTGTGGCTAACAACCACCCATAATTCCAGTTCCAGAGGATCTGACGCCCTCTTTTGATCTCCACGGGCATTGTACACACAAGTGTACATACATGCTGGCAAAACATTCATACATAGATTACAAAAAATAAAAATAAATCTTAAAAAAATGGCTGGGTGTGGTGGTATATGCCTTTAATCCTAGCACTCAAGAGGTACGGACAGGCAGATCTCTGAATTAGAGGCCACCCTGGTCTACAGAGGGAGTTCCAGCCCAGCCAGTGCTGCACAGTGAGATCCTGCCTCAAAAAAGGGTGGAGGAGGGCTGCAGAGATGGCTCAGTGGTTAGGTGGTTAAGAGCACTGGCTGCTCTTGCAGAGGACCAGGGTTCAATTCCTAGTACCCACATGGTGGCTAACAACTATTGGCTAACTCCAATTCCAGGGGAATTTGACACCCTCTTCTGACCTTCATGAGTATTGCATGACAGGGGTGCACTTACATACATGCAGGCAATACACTCATATGGATAAAATAAAAATTATATATATATACTGGGACTTGAACCCAGGTCCTCTGCCTCTGCCTCCTGAGTACTGGGATTAAAGGCATGCACCACCATGCCTGGCCTAATAAATTTCTAAAAAAGTTAGAGAGTGATGCAGGGTGTGGTGGCGCATGCCTTTAATCCCAGCACTTGGAAGGCAGAGGCAGGTGGATCTCAAGGCCAGCCTGGTCTACATAGCAAGTTCCAGACCACCTGGGACTACAGGGAGACCCTGTCTCAAAAACACTAAAATAAATAAATACATAAATAAAAAGGCAGAAAGTGATTGAGGAAGCTGACTTCAACCTCTGGACCTTGAATATATATGTTCATTGTAGAAACATACACACCACATGTGCACACATAGACACAAAGGAAGGAAGGAAAAAATGGGTAATTAGAACATAAGTACTGACAATGCAGAAATGCTGGTGTATTTAGGGTTTCAGATGACATCTGGTCCTAGAGGCACAGTGTGGAGAATACAAAGAGCACACTGCATGATGGGACCAGGACCACTGAACCTCCTTCTCAAGGTCATTCAGCTCATCTGGATTAATTGCTCCTTTTAATTCTTTTGGGAAAAAGAATTAGATCTATGTGAGTAGCTGGGCACATACCTGTAATCCCAGCACTTGGTGGCAGAGGCAGGAGGATCGGTGCAAGTTTAAGGCCATCCAGGGTTACATAGCAAAACCCAAAAAGAAAAAAGAAAGAACTATGTAAGTATAAAAAACAAATTGAAATCGCACAAGACACTAAGCAGGAGTATGGGTCAAAATGAGGTTCATAACACTATACTAGTTGAGTGGGCTGCCACACACCTTTAATCCCAGCAGGCAGAAACAGGCAGATTGCTGTGAGATCGAGGCCAGCCTAGGATGGTCTATACAGTGAGTTCCAGGCCAGCTGGGGCTATACAGTAAGACCATGTCTCAAAAAACAGAAACAACAAAAACAAAAAAAAACAAACAAATAAACTACTACCATACTGGTACAGGTATGGGCTTGTGGCCCACTGGAGAGGTGCAGGACATTGTGCAGGGAGATAGCCAGAGCCTGTCCCCATGACACATGTTAAGATATAGAGCTCTAGGGACTGGGCTGATCTTTGTTGGAAGGAAATGCCCTGAGGAAGGATGTCTCTGGCTATACCAGGGGAGAACCCCTGTTCTATGGGTGGAAGTAGGGGAGGTGGTAGGGGGTTTGAAAAGGACCAGGGGAACCCGAACCTTGGGGTATGAGACACTGACTACCTGTTGGGCTTCAGGAGGCCTGGCAGGTGCCCTTGCTTAAACATCTGTGATACCTACCTGTCAGCTTACTTGGCCTAATCAAGATGGCAGCCTACTGGCATTTTCCAGTGAGTCCCAACCAGGAAGAGAAGAGTGTGGTAGTATGTAAGCACTGCCCAGGGCCCTAAGTGGGAGCCTCACCAGAAAGGACCTTGATCCTTTCAGGCTCAGGCTGGTCTCTAGTCTACTCAAAATCTGCTACAAAGGGAGCTGAAGAGATGGCTCAGCAGTTAAGAGCAGTTGTTGTTCTTGTAGAGGAACCTGGTTCAGTCCCAGCACCTCCACGGTGGCTAACAACAGTAACTCCAGTTCCAGGGGAACCTGATGCCCTCTTCTGGCCTCCATGGGCACTGCATGCACATAATATACATACAATCATACAGGCAAAACACAAATACACATAGAAATAAATCTCAAAAAATTTTTTTTAAAGATCTGCTACAGAGAATGAACAGATGCCCTGTATGGGATTCTTATCTACTTCTTAAACTAAGGGAAATTTAGTGTTCCATGAAAACGAAAGATGTTCCTGAGGGCTAGGGACACTAAGTAGCTGCCTCTCAAAGTGCCCCTCAAGAGTGCTCCACAGAGCACAGCAAGTGGTCAAAGGCATGTATATAGAGCAGGGTTGAAAACTGGTGGCCCAGACATATTTTACAATACTTCAAAAATGCTTAAATTAGTTGTCTATACTAACAAGTCAGAAAAAAGCTTTCATTAAAGTTCATTTCTAAATTTTTTTTGTTTTGAGACAAAAATCCCATAAAATCCACACTGGCCTTGAATTCCTGATCTTTCTGCCTTCACTTCCCTGAGTGCTGGGATTATAGTGTGTTCCACAACAGCTGGCTTCTGGATTCCTTTTTTTAAAGATCTGGCAATCCTGAGGCCTCATTCACACAAATGTGGGGGGTGGGGGCTTGGCTCTTGTCTCTCCAGTCCCCACCCTTCCCTGAATCCCTGATCCTGAGTTTAATGGTTACCTCCCAGAAGGACTGTGCTTGCTCTGTTAGGAATAGCGTGCACTATTTCTAACACTTACCAAAACTGGGAAAAAACAAAAGGTGGACTAAGAAGGTTGTATGTTTCAAGAAAAATGGGAGCGAGCCCATTCCTTTATGGCTGTGAAGAATATTGTACATAGACTGCTTCCCTCATTTCCGTGGCCTGCCTGGTCCCTGAAGACATTTTCGAAGGTGTGACCCACCTGGGCTTGACTGTATCCTCAGGCGGGGGCAGAAGTTGGGGTAAAACCCTACTTTTGACACAGGAACTGGGCTGTTAGGAAAGAGCCCGTGTATGTTAAGTTGGGGGGCAGCATGGGCTTCCCGCCTACCATTGCATTTGGTGATGAGCTGGTCCTTCTTGCTAGACTCCTGTAGGACTCTGCTCTTGACACTGGAGAGCCTGGGTGGAAAGTTAAGGTGAGAGAGTGGGGAGGGCAGAAAGATGAGACCCCTGACCTCCATAACTGGTCCTGAGGCCCACTCACTCACGCTTTTTCAAAGGCCAGCTTTTCTTTCTCCAGCTGCTTGTACAGCAGCTCCACCTCTCCGAGGGCAAACTGCAACTTCTCTTCTTCCTTGGCCAAAAGAGCCTTGGTTTTGGCATGAGCAGCTTTCTCTTCCTGCAAGGGAACAGTGGTTACCTCTATCCCAAGACACCTTAGGTCTCCTAGGATTCCTTAACTAGCTCCCTTTCTCAGAGGGGCACACTGAAGCCAGGGTTCAGGAAGATTCTGGCCTAACTACAGGGGCTGGAGTTTCTCATTGATTCTGTCCAGCCACAGGGATCTTGGGAAATGGGAGATTAGGAGCCTGCAGAGGCCACTACTCACCACCAGCTTTTTCTCTACTTCCTGGAACTCTTCTTTACTGACAAAATTTTCATCCTGGAGAACCATCTGCAACAGAGCCAGGCTCAGGGAAGGGACTGTGACTGGGGTGGGAAGGCTGCCCTCTAAGGACCAGGGCAAAGGCTGGATAATGGGATGATACCCAGGGCACCCAGGATTTGATAGGCTCTGGGAAGGGAGAGTTCAGTTCCACAGATTAACTGTGGCCCAGCTCTTAAGTCTTTCAAGCAGCACCCAGTCTCATGGAGAAGATGGCTCAAAGCTAGCTCTTAACACTGTATATGTTCTGGTGACAGCACAGGGGACTGTGGTGTCCAGAGGGGACCCCTGAGCCAGCTTTGGAAAGTGTCAGGACTGCTCTTGGAGAAAGTTACATTAATCCTGAGATCTGACTACTAAATAGGATGGGTAGAGAGAAAAGTGTTCCAGATGGTGGAAACACACATGCCAAGGTGAGTGGCCAACAGAAAGATCCAGGAACCTTCAGGGAATTCAGAGCCTGTAGCAGCACACATTTTGTTGAGGGTAGCTAATAGAGCATGTCCTCATCTTTCCCCACATCTAACCTCCTAGAAGGGACGAAGTTGTCTAATAATCATTAGAGTGAGTAGATGTGAAGCTTTTATTCAAAATTTTTATTTATATTTTATGTGTATGAGTGTTTTGCCTCTATGTAAGTATACCCCGAGCATGCATGTAATGCTCAGGGAGGTCAGAAGAGGGCGCTGGATTCCCTGGATACAACCGGTTATTAGCCATCATGTGACTGCTGGGGACCAAACCTGGGTCCTCTACAAGAGCAGCCAGTGCTCTTAACTTCTGAACCATCTCTCCAGCCCCCGGTTTTTTTGTTTGTTTGTTTGTTTGTTTTTTGAGATGGAAGCACATCTCAACATTGTTACAAAAACCGTGAACTCCAGCTGGCTAGCTCTGGAGTAACTTGTAGATGCAATGCTTGGCACCTGTTAGCTGGAGTTTGAAACCGCAAAAACAAATGGATATAGCAAGGCTGGAGGCCCGTTAAATCAACACGGCGAAGGGCCAAGTTTGTGCTTACTACGCTCAACATGGCACTGCGTTTGACACTGGGAAGGGGTGCAGCTTAATATACAACAGTGGTTTCTGTGCACACGGAGGGCTTGGGAAGTCAGTGAAGTCATTTCCAGTAAAAATGGAAAAACTTGAGGTTCAACAAACATCTACTAGTCCTTTCAGCAAGCAGGCAGAGAACGCAGCCCGATTTACGGTAAAATTCTCCGGTAAATATTTACAGTTCAGGAAGGCGTCCATACTCTTTGCGTTCCGCTCCCTGCAGCCAGGTGAGCCCCACCTCCTCCGGATGACGCCCAACGCCTGGCGTTCTACCCACGCTCCTTACATCCAACCGGGCCTGGCCCCGCCCGCAACGGCGCAGCGCCCGGTCTGGCCCCTCCCCCAGCCCTCCTGGCTGCATACCACATTCCTCAGCTGGTGGATCAGTTCCTCCTGAGATTCAATAACGTCCCGCAGTTGGTCGAAGGCAAGACACACAGATCCTGAGCCTCCCTGCGACCACCCGAGGGGCGTCGCCATCCTTCGCCCCCGCCAGCTCGTTGGAAATGGCCGCCGCAGGGAGCCGCGCCACCGTCGCCTGCCAATGAGAATACGACGCCACAGAGCACCCTGGCAACCGGGGCGGGGACTTCCTCTGTTAGCAGCGCTGGGGCCTGCCGCTTAAAAAAGCTTTGGTGGTTGGGGTGTTGGCTGTACGTAGGCTGCCCGCTCCGGAAGAGCGGAGGGTGGGCTTCCTCCCCAGCAACGCAACAACAAATGAGCTGGGCGCGGTGACCCAGGCCTGTAAGCACGCCACTCAGGAGGCATGAGGATTGTGAATTCAGGGCCACCCTGGCCTACGTAGAGACACCGGCTCAAAAACACAAAATCAAAAGAAACACAATTCCACAGAAAGTTCGAAGCCAGCCTGGTCTACATAGTGAGTTCCAGGCCAGCCGGGGCTACATAATGAGACCCTTTATAAGACAAAACAAACAAAAACAAGCCGGGTGTGGTGGCGCCTGTCTTTACTTTAATCCCGGCACTCAGGAGACTGAGGCAGGAGGATCTCTTTTGAGTCTGAGGTCAGACGGCTACATAGTAAGACCCTGTCTCAAAAAAACAAAACAAAAAAACCAACAAACAAATACCGAAAAATAATTAAAATGTTTATACTTTTATCTGTGGGTCAGGGTGTGTGTATGCATGTGAGTGCTAGTGCCCACAGAGACCCAGAGGCATGCATCCCCCCTGGAGCTGGAATGACAGGTAGTTATGAGCAGTTTAACATGGGTGCTAGGGAACAGAACTTGGGTCCTCTGAAGGAGTACCTGCTGTTAACTGCTAACCCATCTGTCCGGTCCTAAACTAAAATAAAAAAATTAGGGGCTGGAGGGATGGTTCAGTGGTTAAGAGCACTTGCTGCTCTTGCAAAAGACCTAGGTTTGGTTCCCAGCATGCACATGGTAGCTACTAACAACTGTCTGTAATCCAGGGGGATGCAATACCTTCTGGCCTCCAGGGGCATTGCACACATGTGGTACACTTAGATACAGGCAGCAAAACACACATAAAAGAAAAAAAAATTGAAGCTATAACCAGTTAGATCATGTAAATACTAAATACCATGAATGACAGACTTTTTAAAACACTTTTTTATTATTTTTTATTTTTATTTTATGTGTATGAGTGTATTGCTTGCATGTGGGTAAGTGCACCTGTGTCATGCAATGCCTGGAGGACACAGAAGAGGCCGTTGGAGCCCCTGGAACTGGAGTTATGGACAGTTGTTAGCTGCCATGTGGGTGCTGGGATTAGAACCTGGGTCTTCTGCAAGAACCAATGTTCTTAACCACTGAGCCATCTCCCCAGCCCAAGATTTATTTATTTATTTATTTATTTATTATTTTTGGTCTTTTTGAGATAGGGTCTCCCTGTAGCCCCAGCTGTCCTGGAACTCACTATGTAGACCAGGCTGGCCTTGAACTCACAGAGATCCGCCTGCCTCTGCCTCCCAAGTGCTGGGATTAAAGGTGTGCGCTACCACGCCCGGCTTAGATTTATTATTTTTAATGTGTTTACCTACATGTATGTACACCACATGTAGGCCTGGTGCCCATGGAGGACAGAAGAGGGTGTCAGACCCCCTAGAACTGGAGTTATTGATTGCTGTGAGTTACCATGTGGGTGCTGGGACCCAAACCTGGGTTCTTTGCAAGAGCAGCCAGTGCTTTTAACCCTGAGCCATCTCTCCAGCTCCCATGAATGATATACTAAAACCAAGACTTTGCTAAATATGGGCCACTGGAAACAAAGCCAGCAAAGAATTTGGCAACACCTGATGTTTCTGATGCTAAGTAGTCTTGATCTACATTTGCAATGGTATGCTGCTGCTGCTTCTATTTGATGAAAAATATGGCCTTCATGATGCCACCAATATGATGTATTGTTCTAAACCCAATGCCATTGTTACATCTTCTCTAGTCCAAAATGACTCCAAGGAAGTCAAGCATGTGCAGTGTCTGAGGATGTGACGGGCAAAGGCAGAGGAACAAAGGAAAGCTATAAAGTCATTCTTTGTATATAAAACCATTTAATGTTTTTCTGTTAAAATACACTGAACCTAGATGCAATGGATCAAGTGACCAGATTTTTCAGCATTTCACATGTGTTATCCCTGACTCTGTGGTCAACATTCACATCCTGAATTCCAAGCACTGAGTGTGATGCAAATAATATACTCAATTATCTAACACATGGTTATACAGTTGCTAGGTGGCCACTGCAAGAGGTATCAACAATGCAGGCTCAAAAATTAAGATGTATAGTAAGTAACTTGGCCCTTTCTCAAAATATATTAGGACACCAACCTAATACCTTAAATACAAATTAAGTGCTAGCTCCTGTGAGGAGCAATGCATGCAGAGACAATGGATTGGATGTGTAGCCAGTTGTAACAGAAACTTGCTGAAACCCGGAAGTACCTCCTCACAGGGCCAATTCTGAAAAAGTGAAGATGAAAATGAACACAGCATGAGCCTTGGTCAGCCTGCTGGATCGCATGTTCTGGCGGGGTTGCTGTTTCCTGTCATTTCTAACAGTTTCCAACAGAAAGCATAGCAGCATTATTTTCTTACTGGTCACTTCTCCCAAGCTGTGAGGCCTAGAGATGGTCAATGAAGCTTAGAAGTTTTCCTAGCTTGAGCAGATGAACCCCAGGGCTGCTAATCTAATGACATGGGCTCCTTCAAGATGGACTGTTTTTTGTGATGACAGGGATTTTTTTTTCTTCCCCCTTCACTGAAGAGAGCACTTCATTTAAATGGCAGCTTCAGTTCCTATGTGAACGTCCAGGTCTGTTTCTTAGCCTCACTCTCATCATATGTCTCAAGTCAGCGGTATACTCAGAGAAACAGTCTCAAGCCATGAGATTTCTTGATAGCAAGAATTTATACTGTCAGAAAACTTCCCAAAGGACGTAAGCAAGAGGACAAAGCTTATTTTACCATCACAGACAACCCATCTAAAATATAACCAAGGAATTAAGAGTTCAACAATGTTCTAGGTAGTACCAGATTAAACTAGCCTTCAATCAAAGCAAATACGGTTCTCTTGAGAAACACAAAATATAAGTATTATAATCTATTAGTAATAAATAAAACAGTGCCAACAGGACTATAAAAACAGCATGACATTTAACAGAGCTGAATTAATATCATCTCTGTTTAGTATCATCACAGAAAATTCATTGCTACCATGAAATCCACAGAACTATTTCTGGGCATCTAGAACGGGTCTTTTTTCTTTTTTTTTGGTCCTTTTGAGACAAGGTCTCCCTGTAGCCCCAGTTGTCCTGGAACTCACTATGAGGACCAGGCTGGCCTTGAACTCACAGAGATCCGCCTGCCTCTGCCTCCCGAGTGCTGGGAGTAAAGTTGTGAGCCACCATGGCCGGCTTAGAACAGGTCTTTAACCTGTCAAATTAGTTTCATGACAGTCCATTTTCTAGCAGAAGTTGAGAGGAGAGCTTTCATTTTTATGTGTCTAGGAAATTTCCATAAACCTACTTGGTTCAAAGGTACATTTTACAATGTAAATTCCCTATTACTCATAAGTTAAAGAGGTTCTCAAAAAAATTAAGGAGATAAGTCTGGGGATGTAGTTCAGTAGCTGAGCATGCACAAAGCCTTGGGCTCAACCCCCAATACCCCTGAAACCAGGTGTGGAGGTACACACTGATTCTACCATTCAGGAGATAGAGGCAGCTGTCTGGTGACTTAGAGGCCAGCCTGGGATACATAAGACCAAGAACAAAAACAGAAACAAACAAGACATATAGTATAAACTACAGTTACCTACTGGTCCTTCAAGTTCAGTCTCAGGACAATCTAGGCAGTTCAGCCCTGGTTGCTAACCTCCACAGGAAGGCCCTAAACTTAGAGTCTAATGACTTAGTTCTACAAAGGGCTGCTTTTCTGCTTGTGAAATATCTCAATTTGAATAGAGGGTTCTGCTTCTTAAACACCAGCAGGGAAGTAGTCCTGAATGGACACAAGGAAGCAGTGCAAAGGATGTAGGGTCTGGTTTGGGAGGGCAGAGGCATGGGGGTTGGGAGAAGGCTCTGCTTTGCCTGTCTGGCTAGAGTCACTGAGAAATGAGGATGCTCTCACACTTTGTACTTGGTGATCAGTCTTCCATCTGGCTCTGCCTTGCCCAGTTATGTGACCCAAGCTAACTATTCATCCTCTTTGGCTGATGTTCTCATTGTCAAGAGACAATACATCTACTTCACAAATTGTGAGAAGACACAAGTAAAAAAAAAAAATGTCAGAGTTGTTGCTTTGTAGTAAGTACTCAATAAATGTTAAATGAATGAAAGATCATCTCATGCCACAAACTGCAGGGTATTGGGTCAAACAAAATGACTGCTAAAGCTAACACTAGCCCTCCATATCCACACAGAGAGGCTCTTCCTTTCTGTCTTTAGGCCTGACCCACAGCTGGGCTGCCCGTGCCACCTCTTGGGTTGGACCATTGCACTTCTGTGTGTGTAAGGGCTCAGCTCAAGTGCACCAAATGATGATTTCAGGGGGAAGCGATGCAGAGAGCATTCTCAGTCCTGTGATGGACTAGGGAATCTGCATTGAGGAACTTAGTCTTGCACTCTACCATCCTGTTTCCTCCTGCTAAATTGTACACTGAACTGTTTCACAGCTCAACAGTTTTGAATTTCTGGACCCTCTATGAGAGAGAGGATTAAGGAAATAAAAGAAACCACCTTGGGTGTTATGGCTCACCCTGTAATCTCAGCACTCGGGAAGCTCAAGCAGGAGGAGCATTGCAAGTTCAAGGCCAGTCAGGACTACATAGTGAGTTTTAGGTTAGCCTGGCTTACAGAGAGACCTTGCCTCAAAAAAGCCTCAAATTAGGCAGTCTGCTAATGTTCCTGACTGAACAGAGTTTGGGATAATAGAAAAATATTGGCTAAGTAGTTTAAATTTATCTATATCCCCCCTTAGAAAGTGGAAATTTGAGTAGGAATGAATTCCAAATTCCAATGACTGAAAACAGGGATGGGGGGTGATATCCATTCTAAGGCAGGGAGAGGTATAATTCTTGGCATACACCATAAATACCATAAAGTGCTTTGGCTAAGCCTAGAAATGTCTAGGTAGTGGATTCTGCTGCAGACAGGAAGAAGGAAACATGGGTCTTCTCTAGGATGCCCTGATCTACATTTACAGAGGCCAGGTGGTGTGGCGAAGGAGTTGACTTCAGACGTCACCATTCTTATAACTTAGATGAACTATTCCTGTCCCAGGAGCTAGGTCCAGGAAGGACTGGATGATAAGTCTGGCTCCTGCTCCTTCAATTCTGCCCAACAAAGTTAGCACATAATAGAATATTTATCATTTCCTAATTTGTATTATAAAATGGAACTTGTAACACAAATAGTAACAAGTAACAAAACTCCCACCCTGAGCAGGACCACCATCTTCTCAGCCACCTCTGCGGAGGCCAATGAGTTTGGATAGTTTGTCACAGTTTTCAAGTTTCAGCGACTCTGCTTTCTGTTTCAGTCGTTCATCTCTGTATAATCCTGCCAAATTGGTCAACTCGGACTCTGAAAGATAAGAGGCACCTGATTCATTAAGAGTCGAGCTCTTTGGGGCTGGAGAGTTGGCTCAGCGGTTAAAAGCACTGACTGCTCTTGCAGAGGACCTGGGTTCAATTCCCAGCACCCACATGGCGGCTATGAACAGTCCTTAACTCCAGTTCCAGGGAAATCCGAAGCCCTCTTCTGACCTCTGTGGCATTGCATGACACAGGTGCACTCACACACATGCAGGCAATATACTCATACACATAAAATAAAAATAATAAATAATTTTAAAAAGAGTGGAGCTCTTTGTTTCATTTCAATATTTCTAGATTCAAAAGGCCTTGATTTTCACATCATTTTATGTCATTCAATTCAAGCATCAGCCAGGTATGGAGGCACATCTGGCACTCGGGAAGCAGAAACAGGTGGATCTCTGTGAGATGGAGGCCAGCCTGGTCTAAATAGTGAGTTCCAGGCCAGCTGGGGCTACAGGGAGACCATCTCAACAAACAAAAATTCAAGTATCAGTTACTTCTCTATTCAAAAAATACCTTTCAGACACAGCACCAAGTACTGAGGATTATAGGACACATGTGCCCTCAGAGTCCTACAGTATCTGTACTCTATTATTAAAGTATCTGACTAGTTCTTAGCAATAAAACATTCAGCAGCAGACTTAGGAAGCTTGCACGTGAGGAGTAAGAGGAGATTGTCATGGCCTGACTAGCAGTGGTGTTCAGATGGCCGTTGACAGACTGGAGCCCAGTTGTGCCTACTCCTGTCATCGGAACAAAGGTAGCTACTTCATTCTTCCCCAGGCATTGCAGGATCCTAAGTGACAAGTGACACAGGGCCTACCTCTGGTAGGTCAGCTTCTACAGAAGGCCAGGCTGGTGGCTTTCTTCATTCCCTCACCACATGTGGGGTGCCCAACTCAAAGGCTAAAGGCAGTTGGGCTCTTTTAAAGGTGAAATCATCTGGATCCAGCGACCTTTGTCTCCTTGACTAAATGAATTTTATTTTCTCTTCATGGTAGAGAAGGTCATATTATTTTTAGCTGGAATATAATCTCTGCTGTACTTCCTGACTCCACAGTGGTTGGTCTGCCTGACTTTTTATTCTTTTGTAAGCTTTCAGAGACCTCAGGAAGGAAAAGCACCTTCAGAGACATGTCACATGTGTCACATATTAATAGGATGGCATGCTTGGATGGGCCATGTGGCTTCTGAGAGTCTCCGACAGCAGGCAGCTGTTAAAGGACCATACTTGTGAAAATGCTATTTTAATCATTTTGAAATATGCCTTCCACTCTTAATCACTTTGCTGACAGGTTTTGTTTCTCTTGGTGGAACAACAAGCACCTGTCCAATAAGCGGCAAACTACCAAGACAAAGGAATTGACATTTAGCCAGTACTGCTTACTGAATAAGTTTTTATCAACACAAAACACTGCCTGGCATTTCTGCTCACAATGATTCTATTTACACCAAGTAAGGCCCAAAGTGCAAATGAAGCGCAGGACACCAGGATGAGGGGTGGATACGCATGACAACCCTCCCTGTACAACTGGGCTGCAGGGCTTGGGCTCTGGCCCAGTGGAGGCTCTGGCAAGCGGAGGGCCTCCCAGGTTGCAGAACAACGTGCTCCACCCTTGATGCAGGTGCCCGCAGATCCTGCTAGTCAGGGCCTGCCCTAACACAATCAACATTAGAGACTAAAGATTCTTAATATTTTCTACCTCCAAAACTACTGTAACAAGCTGAAGAAACATACTGTGCATACATGAATACAAAGCTTCTCACAGGACATGAGCTTGCTTTCCAAAAAGTTCATGGAAACTAGGTCAAATACCTTTGCTTCAGAGCAATGACCAAGCACAAGGTCAGTGTTTCAAGGACTGTGTCCCAAGCTTTACTCCACAGTGAATTCTTTTGCCATGTAACAAGCGAAGGGTGACTCAATATGTCACTTTTCACAGATTCTGTTAATACTCAATAGCTTTTAAGTAAATTAAAAAAAAATCTTTGGGAGGAGTAGAAACAACAGAACACCTTTTCTCCTAACAAAATGTCCATCTCAATCCTAATTCCTCAGTGATCTGGGCCCATGACACAGCCCAGTCTACTGTGTGAGGCCATAGGAAGCCTGAACTTCACCAGGAGTCAGGTGCTTACTGTGTGCCAGACACTGCTAAGTTACACTCACACCATCCTCTATAATCCATACAACCTCTCCAGGAGGAAATTAATTCTTTCTCCACTTCAAAGCCAAGGACTCTACCCATTGTTATCCTGCTCAAGGTCATGGAAAAATGTTCTTCTCCATCAAGGCCAAGATTTTACTCCATTTAGTTGAACCAAGCCTAGAGGCAACTCTTACAGGTTACTTTTGTCCCACCCAGCACAGTGACATGGCCACTTCCCCTGGTGACATGTTTAGTATGTAGATACAGCCATGAAAGAGTAAACAGGACAATTCATATCCATTGTAAGGGGTTACTCATAAAAGATCACTCAGATTAAGCATTCCAAAGCAAAGCAAAGCAAAGAAATAAAGATTTTCAAAGACAATGTCTAGCTTTGGTAACATTTTCATTCGATATTTTGCCAAGAATGAACTTTGTTCTCAAGTGAGTTTATTTTTACAACCTCTAAGTGCTAAATTTAACCTTGCTGGCTGCACTTGCCGCAGGACTCAAATGTTGCCTGTTCTCAAATGGCACTTGGGTTGTGTGGAAGCTCCACAAAGCCATTGTATTTAAATGCCAGAAATAGATATTGAGGGGTGTGTGCTGACACCCCCATTCGGAACTGGTGAGTTGCACACATCATGCTTACTCAAGGGATTTTGTTGTGGGGGGCACTGGGGATGGGTTCTCAGGCTTCACACATGCTGGGCATGAGCTATGCCACCGAGTCATATGCCCAGTCCTTTTTTAAAAAAAAACAAAAATTTATTCGGTGATAAGGTCTTACTGTGTTGCCCAGGCAGGCCTTGAACTTGTGAGACAGGAGGCCTATGCTACCTGGGCTGGACTCTCGGGATTTTCACTTGTAGTTGGAGAAGGCCACAGCCTTGAAACCAGGCCTCATGCAGATAGGAACAAATGTTTAGAAGCCACTGTTAGTGCAGTCCTTACTGTGAACCTTTGCATAGTTCTAGCATCCTTTTTTGAAATTTTTAAAAAAATTTTATGTGTATGAGTGTATTGCCTGCAACGTATATGAGTGCACTCATGTCGTGCAATGCTGCGGAGGTCAGAAGAGGGCTTCGGATTCCCCTGGAACTGGAGTTAAGGATGGTTCATAGCCACCATGTGGGTGCTGGGAATTGAATCCAGGTCCTCTGTAAGAGCAGTCAGTGCTCTTAACCGCTGAACCAACTCTCCAGTCCCTAGCATCTTTTTTTAAAAAAAGATTTTTTTTATTTTATGTGTATGAGTGTTTGACTGCAAGTATGTATGTGTGCTATATAAATGCTTAATGTCCACAGAGGTCAGAAGAAGGTGCTAGATCACCTGGAACTGGAGTTACAGATGATCATGAGCCATCATGTAGGTGCTGGGAACCAAACGTGGGTCATCTGTGAGAGCAACAAGTGCTCTTTACCATTGAGCCATCTCTCCTGTTGTTTCTAGCATTGTAATGCAGTAGAATAGGATATGGTACATGTTCATGTGTTGGGGGTATGCTATGTGTTCATGCTGGATAACTTAGTTGTCAAACTTGATGCACCTGGGTAGAAGGAACCTCAGTTGAGAAATTTCCTCTATTGAACTGGCCTATGGCCATGTCTTTGGGACATTTTCTTGATTGTTGAGTGATGTCGGAGGACCCCTGGGCAGTTGTTCTATATTGTATAAGAAAGCAGGTTGAACATGGGCCAAGGGAGCAAGCCAGTAAGTAGCATTCCTCCATGGCCTGTGCTTCAGCTCCTGCCTCCAACTTCCTGTCCTGAGTTAATACCTTGGGCTCCCTCAGTGATTAACTATGACCCGGGAGATGTAAGCCAAATAAACCTTTTCCTCCCCAAGTTGATTTTTGTCAGTGTTTTCATCACAGCAATAGAAGCAAACTAAGACAGTGTACGTGTGTGATTGTGTGTGTGTGTGTTTCTGAAGAATACAAAATAAATATTTACATCCAGTTCTTGCAGAAAGCAATGAATTCAAACCCATCCCGTACCCAAAATAACAGGGATATTAAGGACATATTAATGTGACTTTCACCTGATTTAGGGTCATATATATCCTACCTTTTGCCCAAGCCTTTACCTCACTCTTAAATTCTTTCCTGATTTTTCTTTTTTTTTTTTTTTGGTCTTTTTGATACAGGGTTTCCCTGTAGCCCCAGCTGTCCTAGAACTCACTATGTAGACCAGGCTGGCCTTGAGCTCACAGAGATCTGCCTGCCTCTGCCTCCCAAGTGCTAGGATTAAAGGCATGCACCACCATGCCCTACCTTTTTGCTTTTTCAAAAAATATATTTTATTTATTTTTTTAATTTTATTTATTATTTTTATTTTATGTGTATGAGTATATTGCCTGCATGTGTAGTACACCCATGTTGTGCCATGCCCACAGAGGTCAGAAGAGGGCGTCAGATCCCCTGGAACTATATTGCCTGCATGTAGGTAAGTGCACCCGTGTTGTGCAATGCCCACAGAGAACAGAAGAAGCTGTCAGATCCCCTGGAACTGGAGTCACGGACAGTTGTTAGCTTCCATGTGGGTGCTGGGATTCGAACCCGGGTCTTCTGCAAAAGCAGTCAGTGTTCTTAACCGTTGAGCCATCTTTCCAGCCCTTATTATTTTTATTTTACATGTATGAGTGTTATGCCTGCTTGTAGATAAGTGCACCCATGCAGTGCAATGCCCACGGAGGACCAAAGAGGCGGTCAGATCCCCTGGAACTGGAGTTACCCGTGCCGTGCAATGCCCGCGGAGGACCAAAGAGGCAGTCAGGTCCCCTGGAACTGGAGTTACAGACTGTTGTTAACTGCCATGTGGGTGCTGGGATTCAAACCCAGGTCTTCTGCAAAAACAGTCAGTGTTCTTAACTACTGAGCCATCTCTCCAACCCCTCTTTTTGCTTTTTTGACACAAGATCTTTCTATGTAACTCTGGCTAGCCTGGAACTCACCATGTAGAGTGAGCCTGGAACTATGTAACTCTGGCCTCAAACTCTCAGAGATCCATCTGCTTCTGCCTCCTGAGTGTTGGGATTAAAGGCATGAGCCACTAAGCCCAGCCTTCTTTTTCTTTTTTTGAAAATTCCACTTAATGGGGCTGGAGAGATGGCTCAGCGGTTAAGAACACTGGTTGTTCTTGCAGAAGACCCGGGTTCAAATCTCAGCACCCACATGGCAGCTAACAACTGTCCATAACTCCAGTTCCAGGGGATCTGATGGCCTCTTCAGTCCTCCACAGGCATTACATGGCATGGGTGCACTTACCTACACGCACGCAATACATGCATACACATAAAATAAAATAATAAATAAAAATAAATGAAATAAATAAATAAATAAAAATTCCACTTATGGGGCTGGAGAGATGGCTCAGCAGTTAAGAGTACTGGCTGTTCTTGTAGAGGACTTGGATTTGGATTCAGTTCCTAGCACCCACATGGTGGCTAACAATTATCTGTAACTCCAGTTCTAGGAGATCTGACACCCTCTTCTGTCCTCCACTGACATTGTACAACATGGGTACATTTAGATACATGCAAGCAAAATACTCATACACCTAAAATAAAAATAAAATGAAAAAAAATTTAATCTACTTATTTATTTGTGTGTGCCACAGCATGTATGTGGTGGTCAGAGAATAACTTTTCTGAATCAGTTCTCTCCTTCTTCCATGTGGTCCTGGGGATTGAACTGAGGTTTTCAGGTTTCATAGCAAGTGATTTTACCTGCTAAGCCAGTCCTGATTGTTTTTTCAAGAGAGATTGTTTTTTCAAGAGCTGGGGCTAAAGGGAGACCCCGTCTCACCCCCCTCCCAATATATAACCTAGTTTAATAATGGGGTAGGGTATCTTTTGGCCTCTCATTTTTTTCAATTAAAAAGCAACTTCTTCCTAGTGTTTACCTCCTTATTTTAAGAGGGTAGCTAAGCTTTTCCCTATAGAAATACAGGGCATAGAGAAAGTCCCTAAGGGAGAGAGTAAGACACTAACACTCATCTGTTCCTCACACTCCTCAGAATGCTCACTGCTTTCCAGTTCTGCCTGAGAATCTTCTCTTCTGTAATAACATTAGTTGAGTACCTGTTCTGAAGCCAGGACTGTGCTAGTGGCCTGGGACACAAAGTTAGTAAGACATGGTCTTATCTTCAGAGAGCCAGAAGTCCTGCATGGGAGACTTGACATGCACCTATGGAACACTCATGCTATGTGATCCGTACTATGGGAGCAGGAAGAGGAAACTGCTTTAAGAACACAGAGGAAGGACAGATTATGTGGGGCTTGGGAGTGGGAACACTGGACAGGTCAGCAAGGGTTTAGAAGCACTGTGACCAAAGAGCTAATTTTACCAGTTACATGTTTAATGATACCCAGTAATACAGTTTAGAAGATGAGTTAAGAGTTTGCATTGAAAAAAAAAAAAAAATCAGCCAAAGCCAAGTTTGTAAAACCAAGATGCAGTTACTAATGGGGAGTGTGTGTGTGTGTGTGTGTGTTTCAAGTGGAATAAAAAGTTAAGCTGTTGGCTGAAAGACAGAGTTACCACTGCTGCCAGCATTCCCTAGTAACAACTGGAGCTGTAAGCCAAGTGGCTGACACTGTCACCCCCACTGTCTCCTGTGAGAGAAAGAAAATGCAAGATCTATTTGCACTCATCTTACTGAAAGGTCAGACCAAGGAGGTCACTTTTGTTCTGTGTATCCACAACCAACAAGAAATGAGGGGAGGGGATACCAGATTAGCAACCTTTACACTTCTGGTTTGGATCACAAACCTAAGTTGATTTTTAAGATCTCCATCTTGGGAATGTGAAATTTAAAAAGTATGGATAAAACCAGAGAGCACCAAGAACTTCATGAAGAAGCTTGAGATGTAAAAAAGGGTCAATAAGGGTGGGGCATGGTTATAAAGAACAATTGTGAGGTACAGTAGTGCATGCTTATAATCTGAGCTTTCAGAAGGTAGACATAGGAGTTCAAAGCTAGCTTTTTGGTTACACAGTGAGGTTAAGACCAGCCTGGGCTACATGGAATTCTGTCTCAGAATAAACAAAGTGCAGTCAAGATGGCTCCGTAGGTAAAGGCGCTTGCCTAATGATCTGAGTTGAATCCCTAGGACCTAACGTGGTAGAAGGAGATAACCAATTCCCATAAGTTAGTTATCTTCTGACCTCTACACATATCCCGTCACACACACACACATACACACACACATACTTTTTAAACTTTAAAAAAAAAGAAAGGCAGCCAGGCCAGTGGAACATGCCTTTAATTCCAACACTTGGGAGGCAGGAGCAGGCGGATTTCTGAGTTCAAGGCCAGCCTGGACTACATAGTGAGTTCTAGGTCAACTAGGGCTTCATAGTGAGACCCTATCACAAAAAAAAACCTAAATAGGGGCTAGAGAGATGGCTCAGCTGTTATGAGCACTGGCTGCTCTTGCAGAGAACCTGGGTTCAGTTCCCAGTACCCACATGGTAGCTAACAACTAACTACAGTTCTAGGGGATCTGATGCCCTCTTCTGACCTCTGCAGGCATTGCATGCCATGGGTCCACTTACATACATTCAGGCAATATATTCATACACATAAAAATAATAAAATACTAAACAAAATCAAAATAAATAAATGAATAAGGAAAAGAAAAGCAAGGCAGATGGTAAGATGAGAGTGGACTTGTAATCCAAGTCCTTAGGAGGCAGCAGTAGGAGGATCTGAAATTCAAGGCCAGCTTATAAGAGACGCGGTGTCAATAAAACAAAAAGAAAGGCAGGTGGCAGAGAGAAGAGACTGCAGCAGATGGATAGAAAAGAGGCTAGGAGCTAGGCATGGTGGTGCATGCCTTTAATCCCAGCATTTAGGAGGCAGAGGCAAGTGGATCTCTGTGAGTTCAAGGCCAGCCTGGTCTGCTTAGCAAGTACCAGGCCAGCTAGGGCTACAGGGAGACCCTATTGCAAAAAGACCAAAAGGAAAAGAGAGATGGCTCAGAGGTTAAGAGCACTTGCTGCTCTTGCAGGTTTGGTTCCCAGCACCCATAAGGTGGCTAACAACCCTTCACAACTCCAGTCCTAGGGAATATGATGCCCCTGCAGGTACTGCACACAAGGGTGCACATACATACATGAAAACAAAATACTCACATACAAACAATAAAAATAAATAAACCCCTCTATAAATTTTTTTTTAAAGGGGGCCTAAATTTCTAAGTTTTCCATGTCTTAGCCACATGTCAATAAACTTTCCTTTTCTGTTGTTGTATCCTGAATGGGCCTTTGTCCTCTGTCTCTGTTCATATAAACATGTATGATCAAACCAAGGGAATGGAGGCAATCCAAAAGCTGGGGCCACTTCCCAAGGGATGGAAGTCATGGCCCCCAGTGAAAGCCCCTTTGACATTACTTACTTTGCTGTTTCTCCTTCCAACAACTTGTCTGGATGTAATCGATATAATCTTTCTCTATTGTTTTCTCCAGATCACGAAGAGATGCTCCTCTGTAAGTTTTGTCAAAACTTTTATCCACGAAGTAAGGCACCTGCAGGTTCTGCGTTTCTCTAGAAATGGTATAACCCAAGGTCCTGAAACAGAGTGGCTCAATAAGTTTGTAATATCTGGTCTCCCTCTTCGCTCTGGCCTCTAAACATCATGATCCATCATCTCTTCATAGGACAGACACAGAGACCACTGTCTATACACCCAGCCCTTATTATTCCACTAACACAATAGTACACAGAGTCATCATTATACCATTAAGCATGCAGATTGATATTCTTTTTTTTTTGTTTTGTTTTGTTTTGTTTTGTTTTTGAGACAGGGTCTCCCTGTAGCCCCAGCTGGCCTGAAACTCATTATACAGACCAGGCTAGCCTTGAACTCACAGAGATCCACATGCCTCTGCCTCCTGAGTGCTGGGATTAAAGGCATGTGCCACCATGCCTGGCTTGACATTGTCTTTTTAGCTTCAGCTAGGGCAGTGGGAGGAGCAGTGGCCAGGCCTCGCAGCTTGGTGACAACCCTTCGCTTCGCAGGTGGTACTCGCCACGGCCACCGCGATGCCCAAGAGTCAGGTCAGCTCTGAGGCAGCGGGCAAGGAGGAGCCCAAGGGCAGATCAGCGAGGCTGTCGGCCAAACCTGCTTCTGCCAAAGTGGAATAAAGCCAAAAAAGGCCTCGAGAAAGGATAAATCTTCAGACAAAAAAGTGCCGACAAAAGGAAAAAGGGGAGCAAAAGGAAAGCAGACAGAAGTAGCCAACCAGGAGACTAAAGAAAACCTGCCTGCCAAAAATGGAGAGACCAGCAACGAGGAGAGTCCCGCCTCTGTGAAGAAGAGAAAGACGCCAAGTCCGACTGATCCACATCCTGTCCTCAGTCTCCCCACCGCCCTTTTTGTACAATCCAGAGGAACATATATGTGTGTGTGTGTGTGTGTGTGTGTGTATATGTAATTTTTTTTTTGGCATTTTTGAGACAGGGTCTTCCTGTAGCTCCAGCTGTTCTGGAACTCACTATGTAGACCAGGCTGGCCTTGAACTCACAGAAATCCTCCTGCCTCTGCCTCCTGAGTGCTGGGATTAAAGGTGTGGGCCACGCGGGCCCAGAGGAATATTTTTATCAGCTATTTTATAAATACAAGTTTTTTAGTAGCTCCAGAAACATTTTTGAAAGGGGGAAATCCCACCTCATCCCATTTTTTAAGTGTAAATGATTTTTTTTAAGAGGTGAAATCATACACTGGTTATTTTTGGTACAACCAGAAAATAGTGGGATATTGAATCATGGGAGGCTGTGACTGTCTTGGGTGTTGGTGTAACATTCCATGGTAGGGGGATGGTAGTTTTAGATCCTGTGACCCAGAGCATACTAAATGGCAATTTGGAGTCTCAGTTGTGCATTTAATGTGCCTTGAATATAGATGACTTCTAGTCCTGTGTTTTTAGTAAACTGTTTTCTTTAAAAAAAAAAATAAATAAATAAAAAACAACAAGCCGGGCGTGGTGGCATATGCCTTTAATCCCAGCACTCTGGAGGCAGAGGCAGGTGGATCTGTGAGTTCAAGGCCAGCCTGGTCTACATAGTGAGTGTCCTGGAGGACAGCTGGGGTTACAGGGAGACCCTGTCTCAAAAATACCCCCCCCCAAAACAAAACAAAACCCCCAAACAAAAAAAAAAAACCCAAAAAAACCACTCCTTGGTCATCATCCTGTCAGAACTGTGTGCCCTCTGTAACATCTGGTCACAGTGGTTCAGTTTTCCTAACAGTTTTGATAATGTACTGTGAAAGATAAAAATTCGAGTGTCTAGTGTATGTGATACAAATTTCAGTGGAAGTAAGGATTGTTGGTCAGCGTTTAATAATGCTGTTAATGAGTCCCCTGAAGGGAAATATGCCACCAGGTTCGAAGCTGGAACATCACTGGAATGACTTTTTAAAAGAAACACAATACGTGGTTCTTTAGACTTTTGGTATATGTCTTAAGAATTGTGTACAAATTGAAATGTCTGTGTACTGGTCCTCAACCAATAAAATCTCAGTATGAAAAAAAAAAGTATTGGCTGCTCTTGCAGAGGATTCAGGTTCTGTTTCCAACATCCACATGGTGGCTAATACAACCATCTATAACTTCAGTTTCAGAGGATCTGAGGCCCTCTTTTGACCTCCTTGGGAATTGTATGACAAGGTGCACTTACATACATGCAGGTAAAACACTGTAGACATGGCTCAATTGGTATAGTGCTTGCCTAGCATGCATGAAGCCCTGAGTTCAATCCTTAGCACCAAATAGTGGTTGGGGCTGGAGAGACAGCTCAGTCATTAAGAGCACTAGTTGCTCTTACAGAGGACCTGGGTTCAATTCCCAGTGCCCACATGGTGCCTAACAATCATCTATAACTCCAGTTCCAAGGGATCTGATGCCACCTTCTGGCCTCTGTGGGCATTGCATGCATGGGTACACTTACATCCAGGCAAAATGCTTACACACATTTAAAAAAAAATTAAAACTCAGAGTGGTGGTGTACCCCTAGTCCCAGCGCTTGGGAGGTGGAGGCAGGAGGATCAAAAGTTCAAGATCATCTTTAGCTATGATCTTTAGCCTATCCTGGGCTGCATGAGACCCTATTTCAAAAACATAAAACAGGAAAAGGTGCTAGGGAGATGGCTCAGAGGTTAAAGGTACTAGCCATGTAAGCCAATGACCCAAGTTTGATCTCTGGAAGCCATGTAAAAGCCAGATGCGGTGGCATGCATCTATAATCTCAGCACTCCTTCAGCATTAGGAAGTACAAAGACTGCTGGAGACTCATGGATGGGCCAGCTAACCTGGAGTACAAACCACAGCAGCAGAAATAATACAAGATCCTGCCTCAGCAAGGTGGAAGGCAAGCACTAACTCCCAAAAGTCCTTGGACCTCATGCACTATGGCAGGAGTGTACCAAATCCACACCCACATTTATTTATCTATTTGTTTTGTATGTTTATGTGATACATACATGCCCTAGCACATGTATGGAAGTCAAATAACTTGAAAGAGTTCATTCTCTCTTTCTACCATGTGGGTCCCAGGGATGGAACTCAGGTTGTCAGTCTTAGCAGCAAGCTCCCTTACTTCTAAGCTATCTTGCTGACACCATACTTTCACAAGACACACACACACACACACACACACACACGCACGCACGCACGCACACACACACACACAAAACAAACACACACAGAAAGAGTTCCTAAGTACTTAAAAAAATTTTTTTTGAGCCAGATGTGGTAGTGCACACCTGCAGTACCAGCACTCAGAAGGTGGGGGCAGAAGAACCAAACATTTGAGGTCACCCTGGGCTACACAGCAAGACACCACTACAAAAATAAGCACAATAAAACAGATCAAAGAAAAAATTAGAATCAGACATATTTATATACACCTTTAATCTCAGCACTTGAGAGGCCGGGGCAAGAGGATCAATTTCAATTCGAGGTTATCCTGATCTACAAAGCAAGTGATTATCTTTTTAGAAAAAAACATAACAACCACCACCACCACCATCAAATTGAAGTTTTCTTTTTCTTTTTTTTTTTTTCTCTTTTTGAGACCAGGTCTCCCTGTAGTCCCAGCTGGCCTGGAACTTACTATGTAGACCAGGCTGACCTTAAACTCAGAGATTCACCTGCCTCTGACTCCCAAGTGCTGGGATTAAAGGCGTGCACCACCACACCCAGCCTGAAGTTTGCTTTTCTTTTTTTTAAAAAAATATTTTATTATTTTTATTATTTTATGTGTATGAGTATATTGCCTGCATGTATGTAAGTGTACCCATGTCGTGAAATGCTGTGGAGGTCAGAAGTGGGCTTTGGATTCCCCTGGAACTGGAGTTAAGGATGGTTCGTAGCTGCCATGTAGGTGCTGGGAATAGAACCTGGGTCCTCTGCAAGAGCAGTCAGTGCTCTTAAGCGCTGAGCCATCTCTCCAGCCCCTGAAGTTTGCTTTTCTAACATGTCTAAACATGTTGCAGTTCAGGCTGGAGAGCTGGTGCAGCCATTAAAGGCTCAGGCTCACAACTAAAAGACAATTTGTTGCAGTTCATGTTCAGATGCTCATTTAGGGACAAACTTTGAGAACCAAATCAACTGAGAGGATTAAGTGAAGAAATAAAAAAAATTCCTACCAGAGTTTATATAACCTATATCTATCAACAAGCATTAAAATGAATTTCTATAGTTTCAGCAAAGACAAAGAAACACAATAGCATAGTTTGGCTCTATGTCCTTATGGTTAACCCATGTCCCCTCTTTGCAATTTTTGTTTTTTATTGTTGTTGAGATAGGGTCTTACTATCTTACTATGTAACCCTGGCTGGCCTAGAATTCAGTATGAAGACTAGGCTAGCCTCAAACTCACAAAATTCCACCTGCTTGTACCTACCCAGAGCTAGGATTAAAGGTGTGTGCCACCACACCTGGCCTCTTCTTGTCTTTTTTTTTTTTTTTTGGCTTTTTGAGATAGGGTCTCCTTGTAGCCCCAGCTGGCACAGAACTCACTATGGAGACCAGGCTAGCCTTGATCTCACAGAGATCTGCCTGCCTCTTCCTCCCAATTGCTAATATTAAAGGCATGTGCTACCCTGCCTGGCTCTTCTTGAAATTTTTAAAAATTGAAAATAATCACTAGGTCCCAGTCTCATTCCATCATTCCAGACCTACACATCACAGCTTTCCCCCTATCCATTGTCTCTTATTGTAGTTCAGGCTGGCCTGAAGGCACTTCTGTATCTGTCTCTTCAGGGCTGAGTTACAGGTAAAAACCACCAGGCCTGGCTTCTCTAGGGTCTTCCTAACTCTACCTTGGTGAGAAAGATTTACTTTGAATCTCAAATTATTCCTTTGATCCTTCTAAACCAATTGTGGTTGTTCTGCAGCCCTATCCATTGTCTCTTATTGTAGTTCAGGCTGGCCTGAAGGCACTTCTGTATCTGTCTCTTCAGGGCTGAGTTACAGGTAAAAACCACCAGGCCTGGCTTCTCTAGGGTCTTCCTAACTCTACCTTGGTGAGAAAGATTTACTTTGAATCTCAAATTATTCCTTTGATCCTTCTAAACCAATTGTGGTTGTTCTGCAGCTGACCAGAGGGTGTCACTGTGTCACAAAATAACCCCTTTTCTAAGGCACAGAGGACTGCCTACTGTTTCTGAATCTGAATCTCCATTACTATTTGACTGCTCCTTTATTTTTTTTTCTTTTGCAAACAGCTAAATATAATATTCATTCCTTCCTCAGAAAACACTAGAGATAATTTCAATGGCTATTCCTTGAAACAAAATCAGTATTCCACAGTAAAAGGTGAAATGAAATGTTAGTGATGAATCGGTAAAATCTTCCAAATCTTTCACCTTTCAGATTGTTTTTTTTTTTTTTTGTTTTGTTTTTAATGTTATTTATTATTTTTATTTTATGTGTATGCGTGTAGGTAAGTATACCCGGGTCGTGCAATGCCCATGGAGGTCAGAAGAGGGTGTCAGATCCCCTGGAACTGGAGTTTCGGGCAGTTGTTAGCTGCCATGTGGGTGCTGGGATTTGAACCTGGGTCTTCTGCAAGAACAACCAGTGTTCTTAACAGCTGAGCCATCTCTCCAGCCCCTCAGATTGTTCTTAAGGAAGATATATAAATATTTAACTTACTGGCTGGAGAGATGGTTCAGTGGTTAAGAGTACTGACTGCTCTTGCAGAGGACCTGGGCTTGATTCCCAGCACCCACATAGCAGCTATCAAGCATCTGTAACTCCAGTTCCAGGGGATCCGACGCCCTCTTCTGACCTCCATGGACATTCTGCAACACAGGTGCACCTACCTACATGCAGGCATTACATTCATACACAAAAAATAATAAATTAAAAAAAATTAACTTACGATTTATAGAACAGACTATATGGGGGATTAGCAGCCAGCAGCTGAGTAATTACAGATAGAATCACGATCACGAGAACTGGAAGCAGCTGAACAAATGCAGAATATGTAGTCTATAAAAGAAAACAGTTGGTGTAAGTGTTCTTTATCAATATAAAGCTTATTGAAAGTACAAAGAAATCTCCAAGAAAATACAGATTGGTCATGCACTGCACAGGAGTGCCCACAAAGCCCATGGCTTTGCTGAGAAGGCTACATTTCACTGAGAAGTACCCAACAACCCATATTATCTCTCCTGAGAGGCTAAAAGGAAGCCCATTCACAACCTGCACTGATTCCCAGGAATCCTGTAGTCCCTTTACCAAAGGCCAATGACGCACCTATAGGTAATTCTGCTAGACAGGGGCCAGGCTCTAGGCATGGTTAGTGTTCTACAACTCTTACTTGATCACACTGACTGGCCAGATGACATGGGCAGCATCTCATTCTGGCAAGGATGCTCATATTCTCCCTTGGAAATTTGGCATTGAGGTTCATCACCCTCTACCATTAGGCTATCACTTGGAGAAAGGACATACTCTCAGGTACTGTGAATTAGCCATTTGTAAGAAGAAACAGAACAAGCCAGACTGTCTAGAAAGAAAAAAGAGACACAGGGGCTGGAGAGATAGCTCAGTGGTTAAGAGCACTAACTGCTCTTGCAGAGGACCCAGGTTGGATTCCCAACACACACACAGCAGCTACCAACTGTCTGTTAACTCCAGTTCCAAGGGATCTGATGCCCTCCTCTGATCTCTATGGACATTGCATGACAAGGGTACACTTATATACATACAGGCAATATACTCATACACATAAAATAAAAATACTTTTAAAAAAAAAACAAAAAACACAGGTACAGAGTGATGGGAAGACTGGAGATAATCTAGCTCCAATGATCCATGGTGAGCACAGCTGCCTGGGAATGTGAGAGCATCCAGTTTCTGGTCCTGGCAGGAGGCCTGGCTGCACTTCTTGTCCTGGAGCTTCATGAGACTCCCTTGACCTCTTACCTTAAACCCTTTTAGTTCTGAATATTCTGAAGGAGATTCCTATTTCTGTAGCAAAGAAAAATTCAATAAAAGAAAAGAAAAGAAAGAGAAAGAAAGACAGAAAGACAAGACAAGACAGTCCCACAGGAAAACTGAGATTTAACTTCTAGAACCTGATTACACATCAGGGGATGGGCTCTGTATATTTATGAGCAGCAGGTGTTCACCTCCCTATGCACCTGAGGTTTATCATCTTCCTCTCTTTTCTGTGTCTGTGTCCTCTCATGGCGGTGCCTCTGGCGGTAGTAGTGAGTGTCATCTGTCACATTTGAGAACATATGAATATTTCCTGGAAAAGAGAGAGGGAGGAGGAAGAAGGAGAAGGAAAGAGAACATTTATGATAAGACATCACATTTTTTGTCTTTTTCAAGGTCTTGCCACCAACTAGGTTGTTTAAGGACAGATTATCAGCTTATTTTACCCCACAGAAAAATGAGAAAGTAGGTAAGCCAAGTGGGCCAGCTGGAAATGGGATGTGTATAGCTCTCCTGACTTCATTTAATCAGTTCTTTGCAAGCAGCAAGGGAGAAGACAGCATTTCGGCCACTGACTCCTATCTGGCATGCTTGTATTTGCTTCTACGTCTAGAAACAGTCATTGGAATCTTTAATAGCAACTCATAAAGTTCAATATAGGGCTTGGAGTGTAGCTCAGTGTTTAGTGTTTGCCTACCAGCTGGGGCTCTGGGTTGCAACACAAATTACTTATTTCCTTGGCATTGAATTATCCTAACTTCCAATTCTCTGTAAGGGACTTTCTGTTTTCTTTTTCTAGCACATATTAATTGTTCAAAATAGTGAGTTTCACTGTGGTCTTTTTTTTTGGAGGGTACATTTGAAACAGGTATTCATGTAGCTCACTGACTTCAAAGTTGCTACACAGCCAAGGATGACTTTGAAACTCCTGATGTTCCTGCCTCCACCCACCTGGGATTACATGTACTACCATGCCCAATGATTGATTCATTGTGACATTAAAAAACTTTTTTTTTTTTTTTGAGACAGGGTCTCTTCTCTATAGCCCTAGCTGGCCTCGAATTTACTATGTAGACCCAGCTGGCCTCAGACTCACAGGGATTCTCTTGCTTCTGCCTCCCAAGTGCTGGGATTAAAGATGTGTGCTACCATGCCCTGCCTAAAACTTTTTAAAAATTTCATTTATTGCTGGGTGTGGTGGTACACACCTTTAATCCCAGCACTTGGGAGGCAGAGGCAGGCAGATCTTTGTGAGTTCAAGGCCAACCTGGTCTACATAGTGAGTTCAGGTCACCTGGGACTACAGGGAGACCATGTCTCAAAAAGACAAAAAAAAAAAAAAAATGTCATTTATTGATTAACTGATGTGTGTGTGTGTGTGTGTGTGTGTGTGTGTGTAGGTGAACATGTCACAGTGAATACAGAAGTCAAAGGACAACTTGCGGGCATCAATTCTCTCCTTCCACCATGGGAAGTTCCACCCAAGGATCAAACTCAGGTTTAATGGCAAGTGTCTTTACTCATTGAACCACCTTGCTGGCCCCTACTGTGACATTTTTATTCCTGTACCATGTTCAACTCCTCTCATCACTTTTATCTTGTCTCCCCTTTCTTCCCAATAGTGTACGTGTGCATATAAGTTATCTGTCTAACTGCAGTTATGTAATAATGACAATAATAAAAGGCATTTTGCTATTGATTTATAAAACATAATATATATATATGGTTTTTTTTTGGTCTTTTTGAGACAGGGTTTCCCTGTAGCCCCAGCTGGCCTGGAACTAAAGGCGTGTGCCACCACGCCCGGCTTTTTTTTTAAATACAGGGTCTCCCTGTAGTGCCAGCTGTCCTACAGCTCACTATACAGACCAGGCTGGCCTCAAACTCACAGAGATCCACCTGCCTCTGTCTCCAGAGTGCTGGGATTAAAGGCATACTTATTTATATATTAAAAGATTTATTTCTTTTTATTTCTTTTTATGTGTATGAGTGTTTTGTCTGTCTATATGTATGTCTACCATGGGCATGTGGAAGCCAGGAGAGCAGTGGATCCCCTGGAACTGGAGTTACTTACAGACAGTTGTAAGCTGCCTGGGAACTGGACCCAGATTCTCTTCAAGAGCAGCAAGTGCTCCTATCCTTCGAACCATCTCTCCAGTTCCCTATTTTATTATAAATTTTTTGAGACAGAGTCTCATTATGTAGCCCTAGCTGGCCTGGACCTTGCTATATAGACCAGGGTTGCTTTGAACTCACAGAGATTCACCTCCTCTGCCTCCCAAGTGCTGGGATTAGAGACATATATCACCATGACCAGCAATGTAAAGCATTTAAAAGTATCTAATACTTGCTCTTGGTGGTGTAGGTCTATAAACTCAGTTACTTGAAAGGCTGAGGCAGGAGGACAGCAAGTTCAAGGCTGTCTTGGGCTACACTGAGGGTTCAAAGCCAGCCTGGGCACTTAGACCCTGTCTTGCCTAGAATGTGAGGCCCTAAAGCACTGCAAAGTATATACTTATGATACATGTATATATAACAGGCCAGAATAGGGTTTGTATCCCCAGGAACTGGTGTTACAGACAGTTGTGAGCTGCCATGTGGGTCCTGGGAACTGAACCCAGATTCTCTGCAAGAGCAGAAAGTGCTCCTAACTATTGATATGTATATATCATAATGCATATGATATATGTATATAAATATATATCTGCAAACAGGAGTTTGCTGAGAGCCATAAATAAATTATAAAGAATCATCCTTTGGGGCTGGAGAGATGGCTCAGCAGTTAGGAACACCGGTTGTTCTTGCAGAAGACCCGAGTTTGAATTCCAGCACCCACATGGCAATTAACAACTGTCTGTAACTCCAGTTCCAGGGGATCCAATTGCCTCTTCTGTCCTCCACGGGCATTGCACGACACAGGTGCACTTACCTACATGCAGGCAATATATGCATACACACAGAATGAAAATAATAAATAAAAAATATTAAAAAAAAAAGAATCATAATTTTGGGATACTTACCTGTAGGAAAATGTCCTCCAAAAAAGACATTGAATAGTTCTTCTGGAGTGATGTCAGCTTCAAAGTCCCTGTAGTAATTATAAGATTTGGCTCGAGGTGCAGTGAATGTCACCTGCTCATCTCCATATTCATCATAGCGGAGTCTTTTGTCAGGATTGCTCAGGACCGCAAAGGCATTCCCTATTGCTGCAACACAAAAGAAGCAGCACATGAGCGCAGTTTTTGCTGCGGCTGAAGGTGACCATAGCAGCAAGAAGCATCTCAGAGTGGGCAGTGCTGGGCAACCTCACAGAACCCCAAAGGGAGGTGCTTAGGCCTACAAAGCTCCACTAAAGTGCTGCCCTGGAAATTGTCCATAATCTAGCTGGGTAAACCAGAAAAGTATTAGAACCAGATAAACTAAGAACTACTGTTGAAGTGAGCATTAACTCCTAATTAGGAGTTCTTGAGTCATCCCAGCTATTCTGAAGTTGGGATCCTGTTTCTAGTTCAGGCTGTCAGTAATTTTAGGCATGTTGGAGACAAGTCCACCAACTGTTTAGCATTCTCATTAATCAAAAATGGGCTCTTAGCTGGGTGTGGTGGTGCATGCCTTTAATCCCAGCACTCAGGAGGCAGAGGCAGGCCCATCTCTGTGAGTTCGAGGCCAGCCTGGTCTACAGAGTGAGTTCCAGGCCAGCTGGGGCTACAGGGAATCCCTGTCTCAAAAAGACAAAAAAAAAAACCCCAAAAACCATATATACATATGGCCTGGAACTCAATATGTAGATCAGGCTGGTCTTGAATTCACAGACATTCTCCTGCATCTGCCACCTGAGTGCTGGTATTAAAGGCACGCACCACCACGCCCGTTGTATCACTGTTTGTTTTGTGTGTGTCTTTTGGAGATAGGGTCTCCCTGTAGCCCCAGCTGGCCTGGAACTCACTATCTAGACCAGACTGACCTCGGATCTCAGAGATCTGCCTGCTTCCGCCTCCCAAGGCCTGTGATTAAAGGCATATGCCACTATGCCTGTCCCGCTATAGTTCTTTTACTTTTTTGTCTTTTTGAGACAAGGTCTCCCTATAGCCCCAACTGGCCTGGAATTTGCTATGTAGACCAGGCTGGTCTCACAAAGATCTACCTGCCTCTGCCTCCCAAGTGCTGAGACTAAAGGTGAGCACCATCATGCCCAGCTATATTTCTTATTTTTAAATTTTTTATGTGTATGAGCGTTTTGCCTGAATGTAAGGGTACCTATGTGTGCAATGCCTGTGGAGGCCAGAAGAGGGTGTCAGATCCCTTGGAACTGGAATTACAGATAGCTGTTAGATGCTATGTGGGTGCTGGGAACTGAACTCAGCTCCTCTGGAAAAGCAGCCATGGTTAACCTTATTATACCATTGCTTTGAAGTGGTCATTTTCTTTTATAAGATCTTATTTGTGTGTGTGTGTGTGTGTGTGTGTGTGTGTGTGTGTGTGTGTGTGTGTGTATGTGTAGGTATGGGTGTCCAAGGAGGTGAGAAGAGGGTGTCAGATCCCCTGACCTGGAATTACAGTTGGCTGTGAGCCACCATGTGACTGCTGAGAACCAAACTGCAGCAAGAGCTATTAACCACTGGGCTATTTCTCCAGTCCCTAGGTGTCTAATACATATTGCTGAATCAATAAATGAATGGTTCCAAAAGATGTTATAAAAAAAAACAAATATGGGGGCTGGAGAGATGGCTCAGTGGTTAAGAGCACTGACTGCTCTTGCAGAGGACCTAGTTTCAGTTTCTAACACTAATATGGCAGCTAACAACTGTAACTCCAATTCCAGGGGATCCAATGCACTGTCTGGCCTCCATGGGTACAGATGAATGTTAAAACATTCATATATAAAATAAAAGAAAGAAGAAAGAAAAAAGAGAAACCAAATACCCACCCCCAAAGATACCAATGTAAGGGGATGAAGGAAGGAGGGAACTATTAATAATCGCTATTAAGAAATATGTCAGGCCAGGTGTGGTGGCGCACACCTTTAATACCAGTACTCGGGTAGCAGAGGCAGAGGGATCTCTGAGATAGAGGCCAGCTTGGTCTACATAGTGAGTTCCAGGCCAGCTGGGGCTACAGGGAGACCCTGACTCAAAAAGACCCCCCCCCCCGCAAAATAAATGTGTCAGAGCTTGGCATGGTGGTGCAGGCCCTTAGTCCCAGCACTTGGGAGGCAGAGGCAGGCAGAGCTCTGAGATAGAGGCCAGCTTGGTCTACATAGTGAGTTCCAGGCCAGCTGGGGCTACAGGGAGGAAAAAAGAAAGAAAGAAATGCATCAGAACAGGCAATCAATGGATGCTGAAGGAAGAAGAATCTATTTTCTCCAGGGACTAGCTCACTGGTAGGTTATCTAACCCCAATCAGGGAAGCCCAAAACACTTGCACACACGAGCACTAAATGGACTCAGTGCTCATGTATACAAGTGTTTTGGGCTTCCCCTCTTGGGGTTAGAGGTTAGATAACCTACATAGATTAGGCTTGATATAAAAGAAGAAAATGCCCTCATATATATATATATATATATATATATATATATATACATGTGTGTATGTGTGTGTGTGTATATATATATATATATATAAAAGAAATGTGTCAGTGCTGACTGTGGTGGTGCATACCTTTAATTCCAGCACTTGGGAGGCAGAGGCAGGCAGATCTCTGAGAGTCCATGGCCAGCCTGGGCTTCATAGTGAGTACCAGCCCAGCCTGAGCTACAAGGCTACATAGTAATACCCTATCTTAAACAAAACAAAACAAAATAAAAAAGATTTTGTGTCAAGGAAAAACAACCTGCTTATGGCCTAAGAAGCCAACATTAATAGAAGGCTAAAACAATTTGCTCTCAGGCCTACGAGATGGCTCAGTGGGTAAAAGTGCTTGCTGCCATGCCTGATAACCTGAATTCTATCCTAGGTACCCACAGAGTAGAGGGAAAGAACCAACTCCTGAAAGCTGTCCTCTGACCTCCATGGGTGTGCCCCTCACCTCCACACACATTAAAATAAATAAGTGTAACTTAAAACAAAACAAACACTAAGATTGAACCTTTGAAAGCATCTGTTGCTCCCGGAGCACAGTTTTTGTCAGGATGAAATTTCAGGGCAAGTTTTCTGTAAGCTTTCTTAAGCACTTCGTCACTGGCATTTTGAGAAACTCCCAGAATTTCATAGTAATTTCTGCACTTCTTGATTCTAAAAAGGAAAACAAAACAAAAACCCGTTAAAAATACATATATCTACAAAGGTTCTATTTATACAACCAATAGCTGCCACCTCCCTCTTCCTCCTCTTCTTTTTTGACAGTTTCCCTCATTATGTAGACCAGGCTGGCCTCATCTCACAGAGATCCACCTGCCTCTGCCAATGCCTCCCAAGTGCTGGGATTATGGTGTGTGCTACCATGCCCAGCTATTTTATCTCTCTCGCTCTTTATTTTTATTTATTTATTTTTTGTTGTTGTTGTTTTTATTTGGGACAGGGTCTCCCTGTAGCCCCTGCTGGCCTGGTACTCACTATGTAGACCAGGCTGGCCTGGAACTCACAAGAGATCCACCTGCCTCTGTCTCCCATGTTTTACCTCTTATTTAGGTCTTGTGTTAGGTCTTTGAGTTGATTTTTGGATATACCTTGAGGCTGGTGTTCAAGTTCATTCCTTTTCATATGGATATTCAGTTATCCCACAACATTTTCTGAGGACTATTCTTTCCTACATTAAAATGTCTAGGCATTCAGCCAGGTGTGGTGGCGCATGCCTTAGCACTCAGGAGGCAGAGGCAGTAGGAGCTCTGTGAGTTCAAGGCCAGCCTGGTCTACATAGTGAGTTCCAGGCCAGGTGGGGCTACAGGGAAATCCTGTCTCAAAAAAACCAAAAAAAAAAAAAAAAAAAGTCTAGGCATTCTTGTGAACTATCAATAGGGCATTGAACTACCTCCCTGAGAGGTTATCTAATTAATTCCAAATAGACAGCCCTAAACACAGATACACACGAGCACCACTAAATGAACTAAATGCAATACTTTTTTTGTTGTTGTTGTTGGTCTTTTTGAGACAGGGTCTTCCTGTAACTCCAGCTGTTCTGGAACTCACTATGTAGACCAGGCTGGCCTTGAACTCACAGAGATCCACCTACCTCTGCCTCCCGAGTGCTGGGATTGAAGGCGTGTGCCACCACGCCCAGCACATATGTATATTTATAAATGTATGTATGTATATGTAACAATAATAAAGAAGAGGACAAAAAATTGACAGTGAGTGGGGGGACATGGGAGGAGTGGGTGGAGGACTGGGAAGGATGGAAAAAATTCAAAGATAATACTCATGTATGAAATTCTCAGAAAAAAAAAACAAAAACAAAAACAAATCAATGAACCAGAGCTAAACTTAGTGGCTCATGCATGTAATCCTAGCATTTGGGAGGCTGAGGCAGGAGATTCACTGTGATTTTGAGGCCAGACTTCACTATAGAGACCCTGTCTCAAAACAAAATAAGAATCAATGGACCATAAATATAAGGTTAATTTTGGACTCTCGCTTCTATTGAGCTATATGTCTCTCTTCAGTCCAGATGGGCTCCATTATTATAGCTTTGCACTAAGTTTTAAAATTGTAAAGCACAAGTCCTCTGACTTGGTTCTTTTTTAAAAACTGTTTCAGCTATTCTGGGTCCCTTCCATTTCCATGTGAATTTAAAAATTAGCTTGTCACCTTTTCTTTTTTTTCCCTTTGGTATTTTTGAGACAGGGTCTCCCTGTAGCCCAAGCTAGCCTAGAACTCACTATGTAGACCAGGCTAGCCTTGAACTCACAGAAATCTGCTTGCCTCTGCCTCCCAAGTGCTGGGATTAAAGGTGTATACCACTATGCCCTATGCCCAGTTTTGTCACCTTTTTTTTTTTTCTTCTCTTTTTCAGACAGGGTCTCCCTATAGCTCCAGCTGTCCTGGAACTCACTATGTAGACCAGGCTGGCCTTGAACTCACAAAGATCCACCTGCCTCTACCAAGTGCTGGGATTAAAGGCATGTACCACCACACCCAGCCCTGTCACCTCTTTTTTTAAAGACAGGGACTCACATAGTCCAGGCCTCAAATTTGCTAGGATGACCTTGAACATCTGAACCACCCACCTCCATCTCCCAAGCCTTGGGACTGACTATAGGTGTGCATCACCATGACTGGCTTATGGATGGAGCCCAGAGCTTCATGTATGCTGGGCAAGCACTCTACCAACTAAGCTGTATCTCCACCCACCTCCAAACCACCCAACTTTTTTTTCTTGTTTCTATTTTTTTTTTGTCTTTTTGAGACAGGGTCTCCTTGCAGCCCCAGCTGTCCTGGAACTCACTATGTAGAGCAGGCGATCTCACAAAGATCTGCCTGCCTCTGCCTCCTGAGTGCTGGGATCAAAGGTGTGCGCCACCACACCCAACTCAATTTTTAAAAATATTTTATTTATTATTTTTATTTTATGTGTACGCATGTATTGCCTGCATGTAGGTAAGTACACCCATGTCGTGCAATGCCCTTGGAGGACAGAAGAGGCTGTCAGATCCCCTGGAACTGGAGTTACGGACAGTTGTTAGCTGCCATGTGGGTGCTGGGATTGGAACCCGGGTCTTCTGTTAAGAACAGCCAGTGTTCTTAACCTCTGAGTCATCTCTCCGGCCCATTTCTTTTTCTTTTTTGGAGACAGGGTATTACCACTATGTAGCCCTGACTGGATTAGAACCCTGCTTAGACCAAGTGGCCTCAAATTTGCAGCAGTCCTCTTGCCAGTTCCTCCTGAATACTGGTATTACAGGTGGTATATCAGCAGGCCTAGCTTTTTGCTTTTTGTTCTTGTTTTTTCTTTTAGTGTACGTGTATGAAATGTGTGCATATACATGTAAAAGTATACCATGGTGCACAGGTGGAGATCAGAGGACAACCTTAATTGTTGGTTGCCATCTTCCACCTTGTTTTCAGCAGGGTCTCTTATTCATTGCTGCATACTCCAAGGTTCCTGGCCTGCAAGCTTCTGAGGATCTTCAACCCGTCTGCCTGTACTCTCACCATACGTACACTGGGATGATACATGTGCACTACAGCATCCGGCTTTACACAGGTTCTGGAAATCTAAAATCTGGTGCTCATGCTTACATGGCAAGTGTTTCATTCACTGAGTCATCTCTCCAGCCTTTTTTTTTTTTTTTTAGGGTCTTCCTGTAGCCCCAAGTGGCCTGGGACTCACTATGTAGCCCAGGCTGGCCTTGAACTCAGAGATCCCCTGCCTCTGCCTCCTAAGTGCTGGGATGAAAGGCATATGTCACCTTTTTTTTTTTTCCCCCAAAGAGGGACTTATGTAGCCCAGGTTGGGCTTGAACTTCTATGTAGCTGAGTATAACCCAGAACTTTTTAATCCTCTTCTGTCTCCTGAAACCACAGGTGTACACCACGATGCCTGGCCACAGTATAATCTTTGTATTTTTTTATAGGATTGATAATGATTATCTTCTCTTTCCATTCCTAATTTTGTAAGGGGGGGGGCTGGCAGGCAGATCTCCTATATAGCCTGGAATTGGCCTAATCCTTCTATTCCCAAGTGCTGGAATTACAAACATGTACCACTATGCTTGACTCATTACTGATTTTAGTCTTTTTTCCCCTGGGCAGTATAGTTAAAATTTGTTAATTTTGATGTTTTAAAGATCCAACTTATGATTTTATCGACTTTCTCTATTTTTCTATCTTCTATTTCATTTATTTCTATATTTAACTTTTTTTTTTTTTTAATTACTTTTACTTTTTGTATATGAATGTATTGCCTGCATGTAAGTGCATCTGTGCCATGCAGTGCCCATGGAGGTCAGAAGGTGGCATTGGATTCCCTTGAAACTGGAATTACAGACGGCTGTTAGCTGCCATGTGGGTCCTGGGAACTGAACCCAGGTCCTTTGTAAGAGCAGCCAGTGCTCTTAACTGCTGAGCCATTTTTCTAATTCCTCCTTATCCTTCTTATATAGAGTTTTTGTTTGTTGTTTTGTCTTTTTGAGCCAAGTCCTCAAAACCCAGATCTTCCTGCTTCAGCCTCCCAAGTGTTATGATAACATGCATACACTACCATGCCCACCTTCTAGCTTTCTTTTTTTTTTGGCTTGTTTGGTTGTTTGTTTTGTGGTATTGGGGACTGAACCTAGGCTTGCACATGCTAGGCAGGCACTCTGCCAGTGAGCTATATCCCAATCCTCTTTTGATTTTTTTTTGAGACAGGGTCTTAACTAGTTGCCCAGGATGGCCTTGACCTCACTTTGTAGTCAAAGCTGGTCTTAATATTGTGATCCTCCTGCCTCAGTGTCTTGAGTAGTTGGGATTATAGGTCTAAACCACAAAATCTGGCTAAAAGACATCATTCTTTCTTTTTTAAATTTAATTTTGTGACTTATTTTTATTTTCAATGTATGAGTGTTTTGCCTGCATGTATGTGAAGTACACCCAAGCATCCAATGCCTGTGGATCCAGAAGAGGGCATTGGATTCCCTGGAACTGGAGTTAAGGACAGTTGTTAGCCACCATGTGGGTATTGGGTTCTCTGCAAGATCAGCCAGTGCTCTTAACCACTGAGCAATCTCTCTAGTTACATCTTTTCTTTTTTTATGTACTGGAGATTGAACCTAGGGCGTCATGCATGCTAGGCAAGCACTCTACCACTGAGCTACATTCCCAGTCCTTGGTTTCCATTTATTTACTTTGTTTTCCCTGTCTCCTTAAAGCTGAAGCAGATGAGACAATTCACATTATACTCTAATACTCCATTTTTACCCAGTCCTCCATCTGAAGTCAAGAATATATTGTACTTCAATAACAATACTGATAATGTAGGTCAATGCTTATGCACACCCTCTGTGACAGATACTCTTCTAAGTATTTTACAGAAGAATCCCTTATTTAATCTCACTACTGCTTACCTTTGTACCCCAAGCAGCTGTTCCTGAGTATAAGTTGAGCTCCCTTCTCCCTGCCGGGTCTGATTCCACTCATTCTCAGACTTCTTTTCCTTTTGTGCCTTCATGCAGTTACAGCAACCACAGGGGTCACGACTCTCAGGTGGTCTGTCTTCTGAGTATTTGTTTCTTCTAATTGCATCAATGTAAGCTGTAAAGCAAAGTCCTTCCAGTACAAATCAACTTTGTAATTTTTTTCCCTTTTATGAGACAAGGTCTCACTATGTACCTCTGACTGACCATGAACTCATGAACCTTCTGCCTCAGCCTTTCTACTGTTGGAATTACAAGCATGTGCCATCATATCCGGCTTTACAATTTTGCTACCTGTTTTAACTCTCTGGGGGGCAGATTGTAGATAAGAGCAAGTTAAGTATGAAGAACAGACTAAGGGCATCATGTTGTCTTTTAAATATCCATTTCAAAACTAAACAAACATCTTCCCTGGGAAGCCTTATAGGAAATATGGGAAGCATCTAAGAAAAAACTTGAAATGCCAGAAACATGAAGTTTTCAATAACTTCACAATACTTACAGTACTCATTCATCAAATATTCTTTATATTTATATTCTTTATGTTTTATTTAACATGTATGAGTGTATTGCCTGCATGTATGGGAGTGTACTCATGTTGTGCAGTGCCCACAGAGGTTGGAAGAAGGCATTGGATCCCCTGGAACTGGAGTTACAGAAGGTTAACTGGTATGTGGGTGCTGGGATTCAAACTGGGTCCTCTGCAAGAACAGCCAGTGCTCTTAACCACTGAGCCATCTTTCCAGCTCTAAGAAAATACTCTTAGAAACAAAAAAGGGGCTCATCAGGCATCTCTACCCAATACTTTGCCTTTAGTGCATCACAGAGCGAAGCCCATTTCTTTGTGCTCCAGGATCAGAGGTGACATCGCTCATAAAACAATACTTTTCTTGCCATGTTTCTTCTTACTCTTAAGATTCAAAGAATAGAGCAGTTCAGTTCCTTTAGACTAACAGCTGTAGTTCTGATATACACTAAGATACTGGGCTAGACACATCAGGGGGTATATGGATGAGACCAACTCCTGCCCACAAAGAGGTTACAGTTTAATGTGAGAGGATTCAATAAGTTCTAAACCTACAGAATGTAAACAGCATTATATGCCATTCACATCTGTCTTGTCAGAGAATCCTCCAAGACATTAAAAACATCTTTTTCTCCCATTCTGCAGTGACACTCCCTAGACACTTCTGTAGGTCTGCCTGGCTAACTCCAAGGTATCCTTCATGACTTTATATGTAACACTTTTTCCATGAACCTTCCCTTGACACCCAGGCTGGTGTTGGGTGGTTTGTCTGCGTGTAACCCAAACCCCCAACCTTGACGTGTTAACCCAGGAACTTAGTGGCCCTGTTTTGTAACTGGTCAAACTCTCTCAGTGGACTGACAGTTCTGTGAACTCAGGGACCCGCATCTGTCAAATTCCCCCTCCAGAATCAGCATAATGTGGAACACATAATAGGTATTGGATCAAAACTTTTTGCCTGACCGTAAGATGGAAAAGGACAGACAGCCTACTGTAGGTCCTGATAAGACCTGGAGGAGCAAGAATAAATCAGGTGGCCCAGTGTGGAGGAGTAATTCGTACGGGGCAGGTAAGCAAGCCACAGGAGAAAGCAGCATCCGCGGGCCCTGGAGTCGGGAGGAGGGACAGAGGGGCTGGGCAGCAGGAGGTCAAGGGCAGGCACCGGTGGGGGGGGCGGCGCTGGGGGCCGGAGGCAACAAGTCGTCCCCAGTGACTTAGCTCCGGGCAAGGCCCCAGCCTGAGAGAGCCCTTCAGTTTCCGACTCCCGGCCTCTGCCCTGCGCGGTCTTCCATCACAGCCCAAACCCGAATGGGGCTTAGCATCTTCCCAGAAGCCTCCATCCTTCAAGAGGCCAAGGACCTCCGCCTTAGGATCCGAATCCGAATCCCTGAGCTCTCCGGAACGCCACCTCGCCCCACCCTCCAGTTGGGACCTGGTACCTTCGGTCCAGTGCTCCCCACTGTCCAGAGTGGCCGCCATATCGGTTTCCAGTCAGCAGGTCCACCAAGCCGTTCAAGTCGCAGACGCTGAAAGAGAAGGGGCGCGGAGCACAGGGCACGCCGGTCATTGTAGTTTAGTCCATCTGGGCTGCGGTGGTACGAGACTACAAGTCCCAGCGGGCCCGCGTGAGAGGCTGTCTGATCCCGAGAGCGAGGCTTGTGGGGGTGCAGCTAGCTGACTGCGGTGGCTGCTGGGCACTCCGACTCATCAGTAAAGTCGGGATAGTGGCTTCTGTCCTGCCTAGGACGGCTTCGCTGTAGTCCATCCTCAGGAAATGGCCTTTGGGAATATCCACCAGTGCCTAGTCTATGCAAAACCTGTACTGGGCCCTGGGGATTCAAAGATGGGTTGGGGCCGGAGTGGTGGTGCACGCCTTTAATCCCAGCACTCCAGAGGCAGAGGCAGGTGGATCTCTGTGAGATGGAGGCCAGCCTGGTCTACATAGTGAGTTCCACACCAGCTTGGGCTACAGGGAGGCCCTGCCTCAAAAACAAACAAACAAACAAACAAAAAACAAAGATGGTTTGGGGAAGGCTGAACTCAGCTCTGGGAATTTTAATGGTGTCAAAAATTGACAAGTGAGGGGCTGGACTGGAGTAGAAATAATTCATTTCCTCCATACTGATTTCTTAGAGCTCCGTGGTAAAGAGCCCTTGTTGCTCTTGCAGAGGACCTGGGTTCGGTTCCCAGCACCCATATGGCGACTAATGGCCACCCATAATTCCAGTTCCAAGAGAATCTGACACTCTGTTCTGACCTCCATGGGCACTGCACAACTCCGGGTGCACTTGCAGGCAATACACTTATATACATAAAATAATAAATTTTTAAAAATTGACAAATGAAGTAGACTTCTGGGGTTAGACAGCAGTTTGATTTGGGTTCTTCCCACCCTTCACCCCATCCTAGTTCCTCGGGCATCAGAGGAACTGCTATGGAAGGTATAGGGGGTCAACTTTGGAGGCGGCATCCAAGTATTTATCTTTGCCATTCCTTCTTCTTTTTTTTCTTTTTTTTTTTGTTTTTGGTCTTTTTGCGACAGGGTCTCCCTGTAACCCCAGCTGGCCTGGAAATCACTGTGTAGACCAGGCTGGCCTAAAACTCACAGAGATCCGCCTGCCTCTGTCTCCCAAGTGCTGCCACCACACCCGGCTGCCATTCCTTATTCTTGTCCCTCATTCTACTCATGAACCTCTTTGAGTCTTTTCTCCTCTTTTCCATCCAGTCTTTTCTTTGGCCCTCTTCTTTTCTGAAAGACCAGCTCTAAGAAGTTATTAAACAGGAAATGAGGAATTATTCCTACCATTCCCCATCCTGTTTTTCAGGGTGGAGTCTAGCAAAGAATAAAAGCAACTTTTTCACCTTATTCATAGGTGAATGGCTGGTTTCCTCACTCACTGACTCAACCTTGTAGAAAGGCAAGTTGGTTAGAATGGCCAAAGATCAGGTCTACAAAGGGACAAAATGATCATGGTTGTTTCCCAACAGAAAATTATCTTAAAATTCACTTAGATCTTACCAAGAATACCAAAGCAGTTAATGCTATCAACCAGCAGCTAGGTAGGCTGTTGAGAGAGTGGGGTGACTTTGGGGATTAGAGCCCTGAACCCAAACCAGAAGGGTAAGAGCTTCAGGTGGCATGTAGTTCTTAGCCCTTTTCTGGAGTCATAGCCCTACCATACAGACTTCAGGACCACTTGGAAATCAAGAGAACAAGGTCTTTCCATGGAAAATGCACTGGCCTAGAATTTAGATATGGGTTATACTTGGAAATTTGCCACAGATCATTGTGTGAGCCACACCAACTCCCTTCTCCTTCCCCTTTGACCTGTAAGTTCTGTAAGTTGAGAAGGTTAGGTTTGACTAGTAGTTATTAAGTTCAGGCATCCTTAAGGTTCACTGTGTGGCTGCCTCTGGGATCTTATGTGAGGAGTAGGAAGCTGGAAGGAGGCACAGCCTGAAAGTAGAACCTTAACGTCTTGGAATCAAAGCAGCTCTGTATTATTCTGTTTCACATTTTGTAACCTACTAAAGAAAAAAAAAAAAAAAAAAAACAAAAAAAAAAAAAACGCCAGACATAAAAAAAAAAAAAAAAAAAAAAAAAAAAAAAAAAAAAAAAACGCCAGGCATAGTGGTACACGCCTTTAATCCCAGCATTTAGGAGAAAGAGGCAAGGATCTCTTGTGAGTTCAAGGCCAGCCTTGTCCACATAGTGAGTTCTGAGACTGCTGGGACTATAAGGAAACCCTGTCTTAGAAAAAAAAAGAAAAAGACCAAAAAGGAAAAAAAAGTAAAATTTTTAAACTACCAAATTAATTGACCTCTGTGTCTTTTTTGTTTGTTTGTTTTGTTTTGTTTTTTGGAAACAGGGTCTCCCTGCAGCCCCAGCTGGCCTGGAACTTACTACTATCTAGACCGGGCTGGCCCCAATCTTGCAAAGATCTGCCTACCTCTGCCTCCTGAGGGCTGTGATTCAAGGCATGTGCCACTTATGCCTGGCCGGTATGTGCCATTTGTAACATCAATTGAAAGTGGGAATACCCAAAGACAGTGTTCTGCCTTACCTCCTACCCTGTAACAATCAAGGAAGTTACAGGGCTGGAGAGGTAGCTCAGCGGTTAAAAGCACTGGCTGCTCTTGCAGAGGATCCAAGTTCACTTCCTAGCACCGGCATGGTAACAGCACAACCATCTGTAACTCCAGTTCTAGAGCATCCAAACCTCTCTTCTGGCCTCTGAGAGCATCAGGCATACATGCATGTGGTATGCATACATACATGTAATCAAACACTCATACACATAAAATAAAAATAAATTTTGAAAAAAATTATTTTTTAAAATGACAGCTGTTACACCAGGCGTGGTGGCATGCACCTTTACTCCCAGCCCTCAGGAGGCAGAGGCAAGCAGATCTTTGTGAGATCCAGGCCAGCCTGGTCCACATAATGAATTCCACGTGGGCTGGGACTAGGGAGACCCTGTCAAAAACAAAATGACAACTGTCTAGATAAGCATTACCATCTGATTTAGGTGGGGAATTTTAGTATAATGGTTAAAAGATCAGGCTAGTGTTGTTGAAGGATGTAATAAAATGCTTATAAAGTATTTGGCACTTTATCTGGTACTTATGCTAATCAGTACTATGGACTAACATGATAGAACAGAAACCATTTCTTTGTGATCTGACATTGTAAGTTAGTATCAGCAGGTGTATACTGGGTACATCATAGAGTCTCCAATATGACTAACTAGATCTCCATTTAGTATATCTGACAATCATTACTATAAATAGGACAAGAAGCATAATACTACCAAAGGGCTTGGAAGCTAATTTCCCCTGCACCCTAGCCCCTGACTCCAGCTACTAGATCTAGTGATCTTCTCCACCCGTCCTTTGAAAAAGAGCAAAGAACAAGTCTGCTATGGTGACATACACCTGTAATCTAGCAGAGGAAAAGGCATGATCAGGAGTGCAAGGCCAACCTGAGCTACATAAGACATGAGAAAAGAACAAAGCAAAGCAAAAGAAAAAAGCAATAGATGTGGTGGAGTGTATCTGTAGTACCAGCACTCAGGAGGCTGAAGCAGGACGATCAGCCTGAGATCCACAATAAGACTTTGTCTCAAACAGACAGACAAGCAAAAGTATTGTAAAGTGAATTAGTATGGGGAAGACTGTCATAACCAGATGGATTATGTTATGCTCTTAAACTTGAAAGACAAAAGAGGCACGAAAACCATAAAATAAGCTCTGAGACCCTAGACCTATGACTGGCTCAGACATTTCAGGCAGCAGTGTGCTTACCAACAGAGTCACTAACATTCTGTGGTTGAGTGACCTGATTAGGAACATCCATCAGGTAGTTATACATAAAAATGAAGGTTTTCTACTTCAAGGATTGTAGACAGTGCTTTTGGAAGATGGCCAGCTGAGGTTGGGTGCTACATTGGGTTCCCAGGGACAGGGTTAATTTAAGGTCTGTAGGTAATCACAGATGTCTTAGTATCATCAACTTGGAAATATCTGCTTAAGAGTAAGAATGTTGATTTAGAATAGGTAACATTAATTATGAAATTACTTAGGATCAAAGTCTAAGTTCAAGAGTGTTGGGCATAATTGGGAAGCTGAGGTCTCCTGAGGAGCATTCTCTCTTCCCATTCTCTTAAACCTCACAATAAAAAAAAGAAAAAGATTTGGCATTGTAACCTCCTCAGGTATCACCATGAAAACCTACCCTTCAGCTCTTTTATATATCCACTAACATTTCTGGATGCACTCTTCTCTGACTGTATCACTTGTACAAACTTAGAACTCCAAACACCAAACATTGCGAACACTTCTGTACCAGTTGTTGCTTATACTCATTTACCACTTAACAAAAGTAATCATTGCCAAACTCAGCCTCCATGTCTTGTACTAGATGGAGGAGACCAACAAAAGCAACCAGCAGCAAGAACAAAAGAACTTCTTGGGAGGTGAGGCTGGAAAGAAGGATCAGTGGTTAAGAGCTCTTACTGCTCTTGCAGAGGACCTAAGTTTGGTTCCCAGCACCTATATCAGGCAGCTCATAACCACTTGTAACTCCAACTCCAGAGGATCCAACACCCTCTTTTGGCCTCCGTGGGCACCTGCACTCACATACAACCCCCCTCCCCACATACATACAAATAATTAAAAACAAACAAACAAACTTTTGGGAGGGAAATAAAGGAAGAAAAATTGGGACCTCCAAGCCAGTTCTCAGCAGGGAGATAGGTGAAGTTGCAAGAGAAAGGACACCCACAAATCCAGAAGGAGACTGCTGATCAGGGTCACAAATGTTTTCTGATAGAGTCACATGGAATTTAATAGGACTAGCCTGGCTTTAGGAAGCTGTGTGCCAGCTCAAGGGAGCCTACAGTCCATTTTCTATCAGTTTTATTCACTTACAAAAATGTTTGTTGCTAAAGATACGGAAGTTTACCTCATCTCAGTGAAAGAAAGATATTAATCTTCCCTCTTTCCATCAGGGCCTGTGTACCTGAACTGGTGTGTTGCTTGCTCTCCCACAGGATGAGCAAAAAAATAAATAAGAGGATAAGAGGACATT